CCTTCATCTTCACAGTCAGACTGAAATCTGCATGAGGCCCCTGCACCACATCAGTTAAAGATGGCTTGTATAAGATTTCCAAACATCATGATGTTTGACATCAACATCAAACCTTTCATCAGTTTTACATTGGTCGTCTTACTATCTTAAAAAAGACCTCAGGGATTCACTGTTGTCACCATTTCCTGTGGAAAAGGGATGAATCTTTGGAGTCTGACAATGATACAGGAACTAATATTCGAAATATGGATTACTCTTCCATGACGGTTTCATTTGGACGGGACAAAATAGCAACTTGCCAACGTACTTGTACTTCTAAGTGGTGCAGTGAGAGGAATATTCATTTTGATGGATGCCAGCTGAGACAATGTTGGGGAAGAGAGCATCACTTGCTGTAGTCAGAGGAGCCAGTATTTACCCATAACACTAAATATTCATATTTGTTTGCTAGCAGTGGCAATGTCTGTCTTTAACGGTCCAGATTGAAATATCTCAATAGGCAAACCATGGAATGGTTGACCAATAAACTTTATAGTCTTCTGATTTTTCATCTCATGCAACTATCAGGTCAAAATCTTATTTTGCCCAATACCTACATAGACTGATGACATTCTCATCAGCCTCAGCTCACTCTGTATTTTTTAGCTCATTAGTAAATAATTTCATGGCATTAATGATACTTCACATTTTGTTTAGTACAATAATCTTCACAAATGGACACCACTTTTCTGATTTTTGAAGCCTAAATACAATCACCAGAAGTAAAAAGCTTTAGTACACTGACCTCTTCCATCTTTCCTTTTAGAAAGTTAGTAATAGTTTGTAAGAGCGCGAGTATAAACACAACAAGGCTGTGGACTCGTGAGTAGATTGGGTTTCATGTTCGGTGTGATGATGTTTAACATCTCCGGCAACCTCTGTAGTCTCATTTGTTAGCTTTTTTAATGCAAGTAAAATCTTTAAAAAAACGCAATTGAGGTATTTAACCACAGACATTATTGCAGGCATGTAACCAAGAAAACCCTGTGGTCTTCGGGGTGAGGGAACCAGGAGTTATTTGAGCACTTATTCCTGCAGCACTCTATGTTGAATTGTCATTTTCAGAAAGTTACAGAAATGGTTGGACACAGACCACCATCCGACACCAGAAAGGTGTTGACTGGAGCAGGTTTCAGAATCTATTTCTGTGCATTTGAATTCAATATTTCATTTGTAAGAGAAAGAACGTGTTATTTCTTCTTTCACAAGTTATTTAAGGTGTGAAACCTAAACGACAGTCGTCTCATGGTTGTGTTGTGGTGGTGTCTGTGGTTTTGAGGTTGTTTACAAGTTCAGATCTGATCAGAGCTTACAACAAAAACACTGAGGCTGTTGAATGTAACCAAGAATGGCTAAATTAATCAAGCGTGTATAATCGGAGTCTCTTGATGCTCCCTCCACCCTCCTGTAACATCGAAGCCAGGGTCTGTTGTGTTATATTCTGTGTACAGCAAGATGTGTTTCTACAAAAAACACAGTAAGTGACAGAAATAGAAATAGCACTTGCAGAAGTAGAGCGGTTCCTGTTGCAGTGAAGCCACTAATTATCACCCAGATGACTTTCAAAGGACCCAACACCCTGGAAAATACAGGAATTGCACTTCACAGTGTTTTCATCACATTCACATCAGATTTCTGTCTTAAGAAACTATTAAATGAATTTGAATTTTAACAATTTGCATTTAAACCTCACACCTACGCTGCTTTCTATATGGGACACCTTTAAAACTGCATCACCGTCTCATTAATCACCCATCTGTCAAATAGTGAATGGCATTTCTCCGAGCCTCAGCACATAAACAGATGCAGGCAGAATACTGATGGACTGATGGAAGTGATTAAAAAACTCAAGTGTGAGAGCACAAGGACAACTATCAAAAGGATGATGTTAAATTCTTTTATAGTGGGTGTGCCACAAAAATGATCCCACTTTCCCCCCCAAACTTCTGATTCATCTGACTCTATAATATCCTTTGGAACAAATTCCTTGAAGTTTATATGCCAAACATGAGCTCTGTAGTGTCAGGTGAGTACACAGCAGCATAATGGCAAGTCTGTCTTGTATTTCATTTATTTAAGTTATTATTATTATTGTTATTATTATTATTATTATCATTATTATTATTATTATTGTTATGGAGATACTGGATATTTTGACGCCAGTTGGGGAAGAGCTATTTAGCGGAAGGCAAATTATTCTTTTACAATGGGTCTGTTTACTTGCACACATTATTTCAAATAGTGCTGCAGATCATAATGCGGCTGATACTCTTAGCCATGAAAGGCTGTTTATAGGCAGCATCTCATTCTGCTCCCTATTAACATACACATGAATAAACAACAGAGGAGGGATTTTCTGGGGGAAAATGAAGCTGATGCAGGTGATCAGGTGCATATCTAAATAGTCTTTTTAATATCTAAGACATACTCTTGATGATTGATTTGAATTATTCAGTACTGAGATAATAATGAAAGTAGTTAAATGGGAAATTGAGGTTGCGTTGGTTCGCACACGAGAGTAAGCAGAAAGGGAAGTAAATGGAGGAGCTAAAGGTTGAAGTTTAAGGACAAATGCTGTTTATACTCACAGTCTGTTGCCTGACCCCCGTTACAAAGAAGCATTTACTTGAGATATAAACTAACTAGCTTTTAGAAATTGTGATAATTCAGCACACTGCAGACACACTGTGTACTGACGAGTCAAGGACATTTGTGTAGATATAGGAAGCATCAAGATCTTGTAGATATGCTCTATCAATCAAGTCAGTTTATTAACTTGCTCAGCAACAACACACAAACACGCGGCTGTGATATATTATCACCACAACTTAGCACCACAAGCCACAATGAATGTTAGCATGTTAATGTTAGCAAACTCCATGCCTTTTTCAGCTTCTTATTCATTTGGCATTGTCTCTCTAACCACCAAAAGAAAAAAAGAATGTATTCAGTCTCTTTTTAGCTCTTTTCCAACATGTCCTGAGAAAATATATGTGGTTCTTTAGCTTTGCTAGCAATTCAGCTTTCTTCATCAGCTAACGCTAGTCGCTAACTTTGTCTGTGTGCTGTTTGGTTCTGAGTAGGCAGAGTAGACTACAGTGGGTTTATCAGTGTTGATAAGAGTAATTACAGAACAAACAGCACATTTGAATATTGTAAAAACAAAACAAGGTATTGAAAGAGAAGCTGAGCAGAGCTGCACAGCTGTTAATATTTCTCTCTGGGGTCCTCTTCAACATTAGTAATTAGATTCACTGTTAATATGACAAAAGTAGCTATCAGGTCTAGTTTACATGTATCTCTAATGTTATGGTATTTATATTGAGGTATTTTTGGCTTTACAGCTAAGCACTAGGCTATGCTAAAATAAAACTTGTTTGGGAACACAAGGAGAGCACGGAGTCAGTCACTAATTCACCATTGATGGACCAACTGAATCAGGTGTCACCTGATGATCATCAGTTAAAATGGAGGCAGCTGGCTGCGTCAGTACATTCTGTCTTTAATTCATTGTAATATAACTTTAATTCTCTTCATGGTGGGTTTTCCCTTTAGGATAATTCTTTCATAAAATGCCATCCCTTTTTTTTAAACACATGACATAACTGTTGAATTAATATTGAAAATATATTTTTCTTATATTACATTTATTGATATATTAATTCCATTCAGTTGTGCTATAGTTCCAGGGCTCTGTTATTTTGCATGCTGGCTTATGTGACACCTGAAATGTTACTGAGCATCATTGATCATATGAATGATACTCCATTATTAGAATTTAGGAGTGTTCCCATTCCAAGATGGTTATCCCCACTGCTAGCCTTGTAGTCAAACCAATTAAATATCCTAAATTCATTTCTTTTGTTTTGTTTGTTTTTTTATTATATACTGTATCTCTAGCGCTTCCTTAACCTGTCACAACAGATACAGACAAACAGTGTGTAGCTCAATCATTTCATTATCTTTAATCATTACATTAGTGCCAATATTGAATTTTATTTATATATAATTGCCACTAATGATGGCTTTGCAGCCATATGGAACCAGGCATATGTCTGCCATGAGAAATATCTATTTCCCTCCGTCAGAGTGCTTTTACACTGGTCAACAAATTTGTCTGACTGATGTACAGGAGGTTTGATTTCCACTAACCTAATCTCCCACAAGCTTCAAAGGTCACAGTCACTCATTTAAACCACCTGCTATAAGCTGTACAATTCACAGCCACTGCACTTCACCATCCTCTTTAATTACTGATATGAGCTGCATTGCCTTTCACACTGCTCCATCCTCTCTATCTCATTTCTTTTGATTGAAGACTTATTTTTACCCTGCCCCATTATTAGACATTTCAAGCACAGGGGTCCATTCAGAAAGCACTCTTTTCATATGCCTGTCAGGAAATGAAAGCAAAGTGAATAGAAATGTTGTTGCTGTTTGACTAGTGGACCATGTGACTTACATAGCTGTTTATGCTTCAGATAAACAACCCCCACATTATGCATGGCTCTCTCAATTTTTCAAATCCAGATTCATCCCCAAGCAAGAATTCCATTTGTGGGGCTGTGACATTTTTTATGCGATTTATTCTATTGTCCTGAGTCCTCCAGCCATGGCTGCCCCTCCGCCCGTCCCCTTGCCATCAGCTTTGACAATCCCAGCCTTTGTTTTTGCAATGAGAAGCAGCATTCTTCCAGAGGGATGACCTCCTCTGTCTCCACAGGGGCTGGCACTGAGAACGCGACCCTACCCAAAGATTGGATAGCACCCGGCGGACACTGTGAACAAAATCCACTAGCTGTCACTCCAACTCTGCAGCTCGTATGTGCACCAAACTCGCTCTCCTTCACCAGGAAGACGACCTGATGGATCCCTCTGTTCATCACAGCTGAGACATCAAAGCTCATGACCATTATCAGCACCTTCATCATTAACACAGCAGGACAGGATAAGACGGGATCAGACTCTGAGGAAAGTGGAACATCTCTCATTCCTGTAAGTAACACACTTTTTATTATAAGTATTGAATGAATATTGTATTGTATTGTAGTCAAATTGACTCAGTGCTCATTATTATTGTTAAAATGTTGTCAAATGTGAAAAATAAATAACTTTTCCTCAGTCAAAAGAGCACAACAAAACTTTTAGCAGCACCTGCAGGAGAGAAGCAGAGAGGAAAAAGTAGTGAAGTGAAAAACTATTTCAGAGAGATCTCATCCCTAAAATCCCTCTGCCGCTGAATATAAGGATTCCAGCCGCACACTGAGGCATTCGCCTCAACTTTTACACCTTGAACCAGTTGAAAGGGGATTGAGCAAACTTATAAAAACCATACTGAAACTGAAACAGTAATATATCAGATTACCTGCAGCTGTCCATCATATGCAACCACATGCACAGGTCACCATAAGGATTGGAGGGATTAATAACAGCTGGCTGGATTCAGAAAGGAGAATTAAATAAATAAAATCACTAAATACAGTTCCTCTTTATCTCCGTACAGTGAATTTATCTGCAGCCATAAGTAATATTTCTGTCACTGACAGTACAATTAGATGTACTGCAATCGGAGCAATATCAGATTTTTTGGTTTTTTTATTTTCTGTGACTGTGCCCCCCCCACCCCACCTCACCCCACCCCACCCTTTGCTGTGATGAGGATTTGCCCTGGATACAGTTTGCAGTGGCTAATAGGTTGGAGGTTGAAAAAATGAAATGTGTGGGCCATATCTAAGGCCTACCTGTCTGTTATTCTGCACAGTGATCTCCAGACTTGCTACCCTTTAAATGGAGGATCTTTCATCAGCCTGTCTTCAGTTTTCATCTGCCTCATAGCCCCTGGCAGCCCCTGCCATTTGACTGTCATTACTACTAACAACATTAGTATGGATTTCCAAGCTGTGACAGGGTTTAAAAGACACCTCTCTGAAGGGTTTGATATCAGGAGAGCTCTATTCATAGTTTTCATGAGCTGAGTAATATATTTTAAACAAGCGGTGAGAAGCTTTCGATCTTTTTAAGTGTTAAATGAGGTTGGCACCACTTTTCACTCATCCTCCATCCACTCCTGGCTCTTTGATCCAGTCGAGGTCCATCATTAGTGAGCACTGGTTTGGAATCATTAGGTTTGTGATGTTTCCAGCACTACAGCCAGGTCCATATGTCTACCTGAACTGATTTATTCATATGAGATTTGCTGCCTTACAGATGAATTTCTTTATGGCTGCTTGGTTGTTTCTTAATGTTTGCTGCCATTAAAATCCCACAAAATGAAAGCAACTCTGGAGAGCACAGTCACAACATTGTACACAGCTACACACACGTTTACTGTGTCATCACAGTAAAATAATGATGCCAAGTAAATGTGTGTTGGTCAGTTTTTGTGTGATTTAAGCAAATTATTCTTCCTCCTGGCCAACCAGGTTGTTGATTGCTGTTTTGACTGGCAAGACTTAAATTAGCTTCTCAGCTGAGTGCTTGCACAGTAAAATTGCCATGTTTACGGCCGAGTTAGCACAGCTGAAGAAAAAAAACGCTTTATTATGCAGACGCATCAAAATTGATTAATTCAGTAACTTATCAACTATAAGATAAGAAACACCATAACATTTTGTAAGACTCATTATTTGTGAATTTACCCTTTCCAACCTTATAATGTTAAAATCAAGATTAAGATTATTTTAGCATTACAGCTGCATGTTGCAGCTCCAGTCTTTGTGTGCTGACTCATCCACGCCCCTGCAGAGCTCATTAAAACAGTGGCAGCTCTCCTGTCTAAAAGCATCTCACCTGATCTAACCTTTACAATTCACCATCAAGCAAACAAATAACCATAACTGGCCTTAAATTCACTCTGTTCTCACTTTGTCACATCTATTGGCCACAAACTATATTTATGAGGGTTAGAACAACTGAATAAGGCTCATTTCTGTTTTCAGTTAATCAGTGACTGTGTCTATTTATTAGACATCTGTCTTTACTTGTGCTTTTCTTCATCATGTGACCATGTGACCCCCACTATTTCCTTCTCCTAATATCCTTTGAGTTATGAAAATGTTAAGTGCCGGTGATGGTGCAACCACAATACTTCCTATATTTGGCTTTAAACATCAACCACATCAGTGGCTGTTGCTCGGCTGAGAAGCAGGTGGAAGCCGCAAATTTTTATTTTCAAAAGCATGAAAGAGGAAAACATGAGCACTCTTCTTTTTTCCTAACTTTCAGATGTGCAACCGTCACGTTTGATTCCCTGTCTGCAGTAGTTCACCTGCAGCAAATAATGATGTGTTGATGAGCAGAAAATCATTAGGCCTAACTTCCTGTTCTATTACAGACGTCTTGCATCAGATTATTAGTCCTATAAAACACAGGTGGCACTCATTACATGAAGACAGCAACAACGTTTTATTCTAATTGCTAATATTTTTTTGTAATCAAGTGTTATGCAGTCACAGGTGCACATTTTTACAACAGCTCAGCTGAAGACCAGATCCATCTCTCTCACACATCCCAAATGGGACTGAGTCATAACAAATTCTAAAAGTGTGAGTCTGCACATGTGATGAAATATTAAAATTTGCTTGTGTAAATTTATCTTGTACATTGTAGCCATTTCATTATACTGCTCTGAGCTTTATTTTGAAAACTATCATTGTTTTAGAAAGGCAGGAATTCCTTAAATTATTTAAGGCAAGCAGACATTGGTAGAAATTTCCTGAAATCTAGTGTTAACTTGCTGCCATTGCCCTAAAAACATTGATGAATAAACTTTGTAGCATCTGTTTCACACTGGTAAAATCCTTGTGTGGATAAAGACAGCGGGTGGTTGGTTGAAATGCTGTCTTTATGTAAAGATCAGGATGAAACAGATTTGCCACTGAAGAACAATATTAAAGTGTAATTCTCAGCATCAATAGATACCATACAGCTACAGTATCTACAGTGTGGCCATAAACCACAGTGTTTAAAAAGCAGATATCCAGACAGCTGCTGCTGGTTGCAGTACAAGATGTGGCCCATAGTAATAATCTGTGATCATGCACCTTCAGGAGACGCCTTCAGGACAGTTTGATTAACAGGAAAATAGTGTTTCATTGCAGCACATCTGTCAGGAAGACAGTCTAGTTAGTGTTCTAGTATTTTTCGTCATTAATTATCTCCACCATCAAGGTTTCATTTTTGTTCCCCTTTGTCTGTTCCTGTGTTTGTCTGTCAGCTAGCAGGATCTCAAAACATACTTCGATACTTCGTCTTAACAGATTGAATCTAGCAAAAGGGAAAAACTTTTGTTCCCCTGGATTCAAACTGATCCAACATTATCAATAGGTCATTAACATTTCAGCAGCACATAGATTTGCTGCAGTTGTGCAGTTTTTTTCAGCGCTCCTCCTAAAGTAGTAGTATCTCCTCAAAATTTGAGTCATTTCATTTGTTTCATTCACTGATTGCCATATTTTTTTCAGACATGCCCTCTTTGTCATAAGTCCAGAAATTTTGAACAAATTGTGCGAGTGGAACTGACTTTAGAAAACAGATGCTCACGTCAGCTCCAGCAACGCCGCTAAGTGTGACGGTGTTTTACCTACAGCTGGTCCATGTGCTGTGCAATATTCCCTGGATTTAGATATTCTACAAAAATCTGCATGAACATCTGACACTCATTAGTATCTGTGCACTGCACATGTAGATGAGAGTACATCATTCCAAACTGCTTATCGTTCTTTTTTTTTTTTTCACCTCATGTTACAGTCTCACATCTGTGTGTTGCTTGCAGCCACCACACTAATTCACATTAAAATGGGAATGCAAAATGTTGAGGGGGTGGAGAGCGAGTCATGGCTTTTCAACATGATGTGCATGGATAATTAGCTTGTCTATATCAATGACATGCTGTTCAAACATGACCCTATTAAGCCCGCCCTGATGTGTTAATTATCTTGTGCAACCTTTGATCTTAGACGGGGGTTTATCCTTTTTAATCAAGGATTAATTATGTCTAAAGACTTGTGATTAACCAGCAGAGGATCTGCCTCATGAGGAGACAAAAGCACATGGAGTAGTTAGAGCATGTATCATTGTGACCACAGATGTCTGTGGTGTAGATTCAAGACCTGGATTGCAGGCTGGATTACAGGAAACAGCAGACCTAACGGATAATCAGTAAACTGAGCATGAACATGCACACACAGGTGCATTATATGATATGTTTTTGTAGAGAACAAATCAGATGAATCCGGTAGTGGCTGTAGTTTATGTTTTTGTTTGTTTGTTTGTTTGTTTGTTTTTCTGATTTGTCCTCTTTAATGGCATGTATCTTTATTCCTGATAAATATTATTGTTTAAAAAATTATCTAAACAGTTAAATTAATTCAAATGTAATGCCTCTGTCATAGTGAAGAAAAGAAAAACAAGCCTCCACCAAACTATATTCCAGTATGTCTAATATTTCAGTTGATTATATTAATTTATCACCACCCTGTGCCAATCTATTTTTTCCCCATTAGCATAGTCCATCCTTTAGACATCAGAATCAGATTTATCTGTCATTTCCATAATAAACACTTTGTATACACGGGAGTGAGATATCACTCTCCACCGGCCAGGGAGTAGGACAAAGACATTGACTTACCATCATAGTGGTAAGTCATCATGGCTGTAAACTGCCTGAACCTTACTGTTGTAGCACAAATGACTTTTTGTAATGAATCACGTCATAGTCACACAAATGTAAATGGAACAGCTGCTTCCCCTATGGATGTAAAATATCTGTCACATGTAAGAGACTAAGTCTCGAGGGACCCAATCACAGAAACGTCAGCCAATCATCACAGGATTTCAGACTAAGGATGCTGATCACCAGGCAGGTCCCATGACCAACAGAGCGGCTTCAAGAGATTTCACAAAGGGAAACTTTCTTTACATTTCTGAATCACTATCCTGAGACATATGACATGCTGTCACAGGGTTATAATCCTACATGTTCTCTCTCTGCAGGGATACTGACTGAACTGATGCACAGTTTCCTCTCCTCCAGCTCTCTTTGTACAACACGTCAGTCCTTGGACTGACCATGTGTGTCGGCCATAAACTAAGGTAAGACAGAATGGAAATGAACTGCTGTGTTATCCAAGAAGGCTTTACAATTTGCCTCACACACACACACACACACACACACACACACACACACACGCACACACACACACACACACATCACATACACTGATGGCAGTGAGTTACCATGCAGGCAGAACCATCAGAATCAATTTGGAGTTCAGTGTTTTGCTCAAGGACACTTCAACATGTGGAGGAGCTGCGATAATTCACTATAATGTCATTTCCACTGCACTAATTCCGTCGGTGCAGAGTCATGTTCATACTGTTGATGCTCAACACTCTGCTGCTCTATGTTTAACTCTTTTTTTAACCATACTGTCATTAATCCTAGTCATTTCTTCTTTGCTTATTTACTTTCTTGACATTAAGCTGCTGTCAGAACATTTTCCTGATAAAGGCATACCTATAAAGGCAAGATTACAAGACTTTAAATGTGAAAATTCTGGAAGAAGTTTCAAGTTTAATTTATGGTAACTGAAGGTAATTCATTCAACTGATGGAGTTAATGTGGTGGAAGTGGACTTTACACTAAATTTACCAAAACACAAGTGAACATGGAGTTTGCATGAACTGAGGAACAGGAAGGATTAAAAATAAAGGCCTGGCTATTTCTGCCACTGAGGTAAATAAAGCCCACTATTTGAAAATTTGGGGTATATGTGAACATATGGACCATCTTCCTTGTATCAGGCTACATAAGGTTCAACTGAACCTACAAAACACTGAGTCCACAAAGTGTGTGTGTGTGTGTCAACTGTTTACAGGCAGAGAAGGGCCTGACCCTTTCAGCCACAGTGAAGCTGTCCTTAAACCATTAGCTCAAATGTTCTCTGTAGTACACCAGGATGCTTTCAAATGAGACAAAAAGAAAGCTCGGAGCAGTATTCTGACCTATTTTCTGTTTTGCAGCAGTTCCAGCAGGCTGATACTGCTTCTGAACAAAATGCCTTCTTCCCCGTAGTGTGTGCCTTGCAGCTACACTATGGTGTTTAATAGAGAGCCAGCATGTATGGACCTCAAAATGCAATTCACATGATTTGAAAATTCAATAAACCAGTTCATCCATTCACGGGCTCAAGAGAGGATGCTAAATATAACACTAAATGCAACCAATGCTTCCTTTAAAAATGATGGAGTCTGGTGAAAGACATTTTAAATGTAATCATCCTGTATTAGTCAAAAACGACAAAAAATAATGTTAAACATAATTATACAGGACTCTATTACACATTTAAAATCAGTTCCCTTAATATATAAGTTATAAATAAAATGGATGAAAATTTAATTCATTTAAGAAATCAGACAATAATATAAAATGTGAAGAAATAAAGTCAAAAACTATAACAGTAATATATACACATTGCAGATATACTGTATACAGACATATAAGTCCAACAGCATTTAAAACAAGATTTCCAAAGAAGAGCTTGTTCTCTTCTGTGAGATGTAAAGGTTGTTATTGGGAAAGCTGGGACACCTCATTTCACAGCTCTCTGGTTCTTATGATTGTGCATCATATCATGTGTTATGTGCCTCACAGGTAGTGACATGACTCAGGTCTGACCCTGGAGATGCCGAAGAGACGAGACATTGTCGCTATTGTGTTGATCGTGTTGCCTTGGACACTGCTCATCACAGTTTGGCACCAGAGCACCATCACTCCTCTGCTCGCTACTCGAAAGGGTAAGGGTACAATTGATCAAGTGTCAACATTTTTTCATTAATATTTATCACAGCACAATGCAACAAAAGGTGCTTGAGTTGCTGTATGTAGCTGATGTGTGAAATGCCATGAGGCTACGGTGTAACTCACAGAAGGTTAGGTCTCATGTAGGACAACAAACTGTTGAGAAGATTTGATTTGAATTCAGAAGCTGAAGGCAGCTGGTCGATCCCGTTCATGCCTGACAGCACTCGGACTCATTATCATCGTTTTCCCTCCTGTTAGATGACAGACGTGATGGTCGCTCCAACTCCAGGAATACCTTTGCTTTCAAGGAGTCCTGCTCACTGCACAACCGGGACATCGTGGAGGTGGTGCGCACTGAGTACGTCTACAGTCGGCCTCCCCCCTGGTCAGACTTCCTGTCCACTATCCACGTCATCACTCCCACCTACAGCCGGCCAGTGCAGAAGGCAGAGCTGACACGTCTGGCCAACACCTTGCTCCATGTGCCGAACCTGCACTGGATCCTGGTGGAGGACTCTCAGAGGAGAACCACTCTGGTCAGCCGTCTCCTCCTGGAGACAGGACTCAACTACACCCACCTCAACGTGGAGACGCCTAGGAACTACAAGGTACGTGGGGACACTAGAGACCCCAGAATACCACGTGGTACCATACAGAGGAACCTGGCCCTGAGGTGGCTCCGCGAGACCTTCAGTGTGAATAACAGCCAGTCTGGGATTGTCTACTTTGCAGATGATGACAACACATACAGTCTGGAGCTGTTTGAGGAGGTGAGGAGATACATCTCAAATCATTTCAAAGACTCTACTTGTGTTGTGTGCCTTTAGCTAAATCTACAGAATTTAAAATGACTCACTCTCTGTCTGTGTTTCTAACTACCAGATGCGTTCCACTCGGAAGGTGTCGGTGTGGCCCGTGGCTTTTGTGGGTGGCCTTCGGTACGAGTCCCCTAAAGTAAACACCCTGGGCAAGGTTTACGGCTGGAAGACTGTGTTCGACCCACACCGGCCCTTTGCCATCGACATGGCTGGGTTTGCAGTGAACCTGCGCCTCATTCTGTCCAAACCTCAGGCTTATTTCAAGTTGCGTGGGGTGAAGGGAGGATATCAGGAGAGCAGTTTATTAAAGGAGCTGGTGACTCTCAGCGACTTGGAGCCTAAAGCTGCTAACTGCACTAAGGTAAGAGAAGGAGTCTGTCTGCATGTAACCCCTGTGATTTGGCATGAAAACAAGCTGCATCTGTAAACGCTGGTGTCTTGAGTTACTCGGCTGTCATAACAATTTGTTCTTAAAATCAGTTAAATGTCAGCTTACAGCCAACCCTTTACACTCGCAGCTCATTGAATATATGCTACATTCTGCCTCTAGACATTGTGTAGTACAGAACTACTGCATAGCATTTTAAGCCAAAATTTCTGTATTAGTATCTCATCTGTTCGTTTCCATCCCTTTCTTCTTACACACAGGTATTAGTATGGCACACACGGACAGAGAAGCCTGTGCTGGTAAATGAGGGCAAGAAAGGATTTACAGACTCTAACGTGGAGATATGACATACTTCATCTGACACAGGTAATAGCACAGATTTAGAAATGCAAATTGCAGCCTTTCCACACAGTGATTATTTTTGGGGGATGGATCAAAGGGGAGAAGTGTAGCGCATATGTGCACCATGAGATATGGACCTTACTTGAAATAGATGTGACTTTTATATAACCTTTTTGTTTAGTTATCACAAATATTTTTTGCCATGGTAACAGCGTGTCTCTATGGACGGACATGTTGGTCCATCTGTCAGACCGTCACTTTGGTGCAGACTGAAACGTTTCAACCACTAGTGGATGGATTGCCATGAAATTATGTACAGAGATTCATGGTCCCATGAGGATGATGTTTTTTCCTTGTGCACCATCAAGTCAGAGCTTTCACTTATAACAGTTAAATATCTAAATATCCACTGGATGGATTTTGTACAAACATTCATGGTGTCCAGGGGATATATCTTACTGATTTTAGCGGTCACCTGACTTTTCCTATACCATCAATACACGTTTTATGTTTTTAGTGACATGCTTCAACAACTGTGGATGGATTGCCATGAGATTTGGTAAAGACGTCCATGTCCCCTTCAGGATGAAATGTAATCACTGTGGTGATCCTCTGACCCATCAGGTCTAATTTTAATTTGTTTATGACCAAATTCCAAAACTAATGACTTTCCCATCAGCCTCAGCCTCAGTGTGTGTTTTGTACTAAATAGTAAATGTTAGCATGCTAACATGTTAAACTAAGATGGTTAACATGGTGAATATTATACCAAGCTGACATTTTCATTGTGAGCGCCTTAGCATGCTGGTGTTAGCATTTAGCTCAAAGCACCACTGTGCTTATTGCTTCATGTTATATAGATGGTCGAGATGGATGGATTCCCATATTAATCACTTGTGAGTGTTCACGCCATCAAGACAGTTGTATGATTACAGAGTTGGTCATGTGAGGATTAAAATACTGCGCCCTGACAATATAAAACCATATCCATGTAATTTGGGTTGAATTACACATTAAACAATGGTCTTTGGAGGATGTTAAGTGTCCCTATTTGTTTTGTTTTCACTGTTAGTCAGTGCCAAGTTGGATATATTGAGGCTTCCAGATAAAATCCTGTAGCTGAAGAGTTACACTTGCAATTATGAGAACTCCAATATGATATGAATTCATCATTAATACAGCCTTAGTCTTGTTCTTTGTTCATCCTTATTAAGTGTAAAACTGTTGTTTCAGGGGAAGCATTTCTCCATGGGATTCTACCTGGACTCATTCCAACCTCGGAGCTCCTCAGAGCAATGGCCAGAGCCAAAAATATTATCACAGCACAGTAGCTGTACTTCAGCACAGCTTAGACATGGAGGAACACCCGTCCACCCGAGGAGGCAGCACAAAACAATGTGCATGTACCGAGAAGAATATCAAAGCACAACTGCACAAAAACAAGCCTGCCTGTTCTGTCCAGAGCACTGGACACCGTGAGAAACTGGTAGGAGTTGCCAAAAAGGAGCCCACTGAGGTCTCTTCAACTGAGATAAAGGATGTTACACGATTTAAACTACAGGAAGAGATGGCACAGCAAGCAATAAAGAGCCCTCTCATTGCAGACAACACCAGCCAACCATCCAATCAGCATTAAATAGGGCCCTTTTGTTCTGAGGCAAGCTGACTGTCGGGCACAGGGCTGCACAGAGGAATAAAAGGGCTCCTTGTCATAAGTGAGTCAGCACTGACTGACGGACTGCAAAGGGGGGATCTGAGCCCTCCCCACTTGTACTGTACAACACTGAGCTATTTAGATAGCACCCTGAACCTAGCACTAATTAGGACTCCTGTTGCTCCACAACACACATTCACACACGCTCAGCTGGCACACTGCACATTATGAGCACACACACACACACACACACACACACACACACACACACACACACACACACACACACACACACACACAGACACGCACTCAAAAACACAGAGCACTGATTTATTAAGAGTTTAACAATGTCATCCCCTACAGTCATCTACTTCAAGCTTTTATTTATTTCTGATATGCTGTAACACTACTGAGGTCTACTCGCATGTACGAGAAGATTCAGTATTCCTCGGGGCCTGTTTACATCACAGGTTTCTCATTAGCTAATCAAAAAAAAAAAACTCAGTGAACTGAAGGTTTCTCTGCAGAATTATTTATTATTTCAGTGTAACTGGTACCATTCTCTTGTTAGTTGTGAGCTATGCTTGTGAGAGTCAATGGGATATAAAGCCATTACTCTAAAAACTGGATGTAGCTGTATTACAAAGTCTAATTATTCCCACCATGGATGGCTGGCTTGGAAGTGACGATTTCATACCCCACTGACTTGCAGTGGCACAGCTTACAACTACTAATTGTTCTCTCAGACTCTGTGACTGTTCAGAGTTTGGTCAGTCATCGATGTGACGAGCATCTAAAACCTCGAACTTTCACTTTAAGGTCTGATGTTGCTACATAGCTGCTTGTGTTTCATTTGAAAGCTGCTCACATCACTTCTGCCTCAGCTCATGTTGTCCCATAAACCTGTTTTTGTTTTGTTTTTTTTGTTTTACAGGCTAAGATTTTTCCTGCTACCCAACACATCTGTAGAATTCACACAGGCAATACAAATCTAACACAAGACACATATCTGTCATCCCCAAACGGAAATTATTACTCTTTAAATGGGAATCCACAGGCAAGAGGATGTACTTGGAGATTCTGCTCTATAATGTAAATGTAAAGAGTCACTGGAACTAAAGGTACTGTATGTACATAGCTATAAACTGCTCCCATACAAACATGTCTCACTCGGTCTTTGATTGAGGGGTGAAGTGGCTAAATAATGGGTGTAGATTTTTAGGTATTGTATTAGAAAGAGATGACAGCTCTGAATTTGAAGGTTTGATATGATGTCAGAAACACTTTGTAGAAGAATACACATTTTTACACAAAAACAAGGGGTTCATACAGGAGGTGATGACAGTCACTGGATGTCTGCTGCCATGCCAAGATCAGGTGTGTCCTCAAAGTGGACCTTGTAGTCTCCCTCTTGCTCCTCAAACACAATGACCTTATTTATTTAAACAGGAAAAAGTGAGAGACAGTGAGTCTGTAGAGACTTGCTGTATTCAAACTCTGTAAATGTCAAATTAATCCAATAAGTCCAATATGATGCAAGACAAAAAACACTTAAAGGAATAGTTCAACATTGAGGTAATGCAAACTCAACATCACTCACATGTCTGTGAGCTAAAAATTGAGCAAGAGCCAGCAGCCAGCTAGCTTAGCTTAGCATAAAGGTCCAGGGAAACAGCTATCCTGGTTATATTTAAAGGTAACAGCAGCAGTTTTACCGTGCATTATGTGCCAGACTATTCTTTAGCTTCACACAGTAATGATGTATGGATTAAATGAATAACATATACAGTGTTAATTAGTAAACTTTAGAGGAGCTGTTAGGCTGGTTTTGCTACGAGACAGAGCCAGGCTAGCTGCTACCCATGTTTTAAGTCTTTATGCAAGGCTAAGCTGATGCTTGCTAGCTTAGCGTGCATACATCAGCAAGCAAATGTAATTTCCTAAAATGTCAAACTATTCCTCTAACAAATGCTGGTTTGTGCACAGCTGTACCTGGTTGATTCCACTGTTGAGAAAGGGACTGGGGAGGTAGAGAGTCTGCTGGGGGCCAATGGACCAGTAGCGGCCCAGATTCAGCCCATTGATAAACACGGCACCTTTCTCCCAGCCCTGTGGACCCAAAGATAACTTAAATGCTGAAGTATTTCTCATAAAACCACGTTCAAAAACATTCATAATGTAAGAGAGAGTTATGTTTTGTTTCACTTACTGGCAGCGTCACAAATGTGTCACTTGGATACCCATATGCAAACAACCTCCCCATGAAAAATCCAGGGAAGCTGGGAGTTTCAGAAAGAGTTTTCCATGGTGCCTGATAAAGACTGAAAAGAGGTATCCACTTTAAACACACTATTACAGCAAAATGAAAGTGATATGCAGTGTGTTAAATCCAATAAAGCTTACAAACCTATCAATAAAGCTGGGCTTCATATCCAGGCTGTATATTTTAAAATCCCGCAGGGCGATGTTGTTTAATAAAATGTCTCCCACAAGGCCTGTAAGAACACAAATCAAAATTGGCTTGTGCACTACCCACTGAGTGCTTGAGTGATTTAATAGCATGCAATCGCATTGAACTGCATATTGTCTGTCAATCACCTTTATGTTGTTTGTCAAGGTTCCTTCCCTGGTGAATTCGTCCACAATTTTCCACCAGTAAACTCAAGGTACGCCGTCCCTGTAGGGATTAATTGCCTTTATGTCTTTTGCAAGTTATAACAGCCAACACCTCAGCGTCCATCACATCCGATAAAGCACTGTGAACGATGTTTATTGGACATTTGCCTTCGTTGTCCAGCTGGATGTCATACCTTACCATCAGGAACTGCCAGCTCCACGCTCCGGCGCTTGAAAAGGCCAATGTAGCTTCTGTCTACAAACACCTAAGAAGAAAGATATTGCTATAAAATAAATTGTACAGAACACATAAACTCTCCTTCCCTTGAGTGAAGTATCTCAAAGGTGGCTTTAGGTTTGCCAACTATCACCACAGACTTCATCAAACTGTTTCACATCTACTGTAACTCTTTGAAAGAAAGCATATTTCCCAAAACATGAAACCTTTCCCTTAAATTTGTTTTCATCACCTACACATAGATCAAGGAAGTCATGCCTGCATGTACAGTGAGGACTCACTAGGGCTCGGTCTCGGACATTGTCTCCAGACCTCAGTAATCCTCCGCTGGTGATAGTAGTCTCATACAACGTGTATCCGTAGGACTGGCCGTTCCCATTGTTCACAGGTAGATTCTCCATGTTCACTGGTTTGGGTGACCTCAACGGCTGCAGAGAAAATTTAAATATTCAAATCAGACTACTTGACTGAAAAGCACTATTCTTTCCATTACACATATAGGTTACATATAATCTTACATAAAACATACTCCCTCAGTGAAGCTCAAAGCATCCCATAAGGACAGGTGCTGGTACATGATGGCTGGTTCATAAGCCTCCCTGTAATGCAGCGCTGGCATGTCAGGAAAAGTCTCACCTCCTGCACAGAGAGACCACACATAAGATCAGGCAAAGAAGTCAGTCACAGCATCACTCTGGTCTCATCTATATGAAGTGTTTAACTTACTGTTGTAGCGAGAAAGTAGATCTCTAAGGAGATGGTACTTTGGAGTGTACTCCCCAGCTTCAGACAAGGGAGCATCATAATCTGCAAAACATGATAGTGTCACAAATTAACTATCATGCACTGCCACCTGCTGGATGTCAAGGGCAACGCTCTTCTGTAGACATGAAGGGACACACAGTATACCTCAGCTGTGACATGCCAGTGCTTCATTGTTATAATAAAAATCTTTTAAAAATTTGCATTAAAAATACAGCTGGTTTGGTTATGACAGAGCACATGACACAGAGGAACCAACCATAGCTGGGGACCAGTGCTTTGTAGGAAGGATCAGCGAGTGCTCCGCTCATGAAGCCAAAACTGGAGCCTCCATGGAACATGTAGAGGTTGACAGACATGCCTCGCCTTAGGATTTCCCTCACGGTGGACACCATATCTGACAAGAAGGTCAACATGTTCACTGTAAACAAACTGACTCCTTAAAAACACAGAGGTCCCTGCAACAGGGAAATGAGAATAACAGCTCTGCACCATGTTACTGAAACCTTTTTGACCCTCTGCTAACCTCCTTCTCAGGACATACACTGATTCATTCAAAAGCCTTTTTGGCTCTGACTTTAATATTTGCATTTGCATTTACATTGTTGGAATGTAGCTGGTGTTTCCTCACGCAAAAAGCAAAGTGGTAGGGAAATTTGTTTGCAGCAGGTAAGAGTGACTTGAGATCAAATACTGCTAGTGGGTAAAAGGAAATACTTAATGAAAAGATGTCACAGGTAAATAAACAAAGGGTTGTAAGTGACTGCTACTGGGATGTGTGTAAGAATCTGATGGCTAAGTAGTTCTGTTCAGGTGCAGAAATGCAGGTTTTCAAAGGTGAATCTGCAGATATTTTGTGTCAAAATTTACAAGCAAATCTCTGAAACAGCATCTAAACCAATAAGGACTTATATTGTCCATAGAAACATTTACATATATCAAACTATTTAACGTTCTTAAAGTTCTTAGCTGGGATCAGGTGAGCCCTCCTCAAATCTGTACTTTAGGTCACTGACCAGCAAAGATCTGATATTTAATGAAAAGGCTAACATAGATGTGTCAAATCCAAACCAATAGCATTCCTGATTCTGATTTATCTTGGGTTAAAGGTTGTAATTTATTTAAAAAAAATAAAGTCCCTTGAGCCAAGACCTAATTGAATGAAGTAAAACATGAAAAAACCAAAAGAGAGGTGTCAATTTAATCTACAAATCCATAGATAACAAAGAATTAAAACTCTTCTACCCTCTGGAGGAAGCACATGGTGGAGGTCACCCCACACATCATACCAGCCGGTCCAATAGTCCATCACCATGGCGGGGCTGTTGGGCTGGCAAACAGGAAATAACAGTTTGATCGCAAAAACACACCCCAACTATTACAGTAACTTACACTGCTAGTTTTTCACTCCAGCATCAACTGTCTATTTGACGTTCACCGTGACAGACAGTGAAACGATCTGCAAAGGTGCACAGGTACACACCTGGAGAGAGCTCAGATCCTGGATGTCTCTCTGATTTAGCTTCTGCAGCTTCACTGATCTGATGGCTACAAGACAGAAGATCACAAGGTAAGTGTGTGTGTGCGTGCATGCGTGCGTGCGTGTGTGCATGTGTGTTACTAATACCTCCTTCTACACCCCCTGATTTCAATGTGTTGTGGTTGTCTGATGTGAACAAGAGCTCACTGATCCCTCTGGTCTGTAAAGCCTTTCAAAATAAAACACAACGTCAAGTCTTAGGGTATGAACATCATCAGACTGATCAGTTCTGTCAATTTCTATTTTACATGCAAGTTTGTACAAAAGTGGCATTTTAAATAAGAAAACCTGTCACATTACCTCTTTAATAAAAAGCATGTAACTTTCATCCTTTGCAAAGGATCCATAACCGTTTTCAACCTGCACTGCAATAATGGGACCTCCTTTCTTGAACTAAAACACACAAGCAAACATGTTATTGTAAGGATGACAAGTTAAATGACCTGGAGCTCCAACACACCTGTTTCCAGTGTGTTGTTTCTGACCTGCAGTGGAACCACTTTTGGTATAAGTTTGTCAAAAAAAGTGTTGACAGCCTGAGTGAAGCCTGGGTAAGTGGTCCTCAGTCTCATGCTGCTATCACGGAGGAGCCAGCTGCATAGAGACAGAAAACAAGATGCTTAGTTATGACTAAAGCCACGGAGCTGCAAGAACAATGGAGGCATAGTAAGACTAACATACTGGACAAAGCTTCACATACTGGTCAAGTCCTCCCTTTCAGCAAGATGTGACTTTCTAACCCCGGTTGCACTCGACAAAAAAGTGGAACACTGTGCTTCGGATCAAGCGGCTTTTGTGCTGTCGGGTTAAATTCACTTACAAACTTAATTCTATTTTTCTGGGGACATAAACTGGTCAGAGCTCTTCCAACAAAACGTTGGGTTTAAGTCTATATCCTGTGTTCATACATAAACAGAGCTTTTATTTACAGCAGAAGTAGAGATACAGACAGGAAACATGGGGGGAGAGACAAAGAGAGAGAGAGAACTGTAGACTACAGGGGTACTGAAAATCAGGATTTCAATATACACTGGCACTACCTCGGCAGTCCTCCTAGGTCCAGCTCAGAGGAAATGTAGGGCCCTGGACGTAAAATCACCCACAATCCCAATTCAGCAGCAAGATTGATATAGGCTCTGAAACCAAGACGGAGAAAAAGTAATAAGCAGTTTCTATCTGCACAAACACAAAGTTCAGACTGTGAGTTAGACCTTGTATCTCATTGTTTGAGGAGTGTGACAGGTGCCTGGCAACAGCAGCAGCAGCAGGCTGAGGCGTCATATCCCTCTTCACTTATCATCACTGTGTGGCTAATTGCTTGATAAGTTGCTGTTGTTGTGGAGATGCCGCTGTTGTCAGGCGGGACTCCAGCCTCTAGCTTCTCCCCTGAGCACTGGGGCAGATGATGAGAGGGAAGGGAGAGTATTCCCAACGCGCCTTAGAGCAGGTGATATTGTTAGTACAGCTGGAGTGGTGTTGCACCGTGTTTTAATTCTTATTATGATCATTACTGAGGTGCATTAATTAGAGCATGGACTGCACTCACAGGAGAAGCACATGGTGTGGTGATTAATCATGAGTGTTTTGTATTCAAGTCAGATTCAAACTGCTCCTTACTCTAAATCCAGCTGTGTGTGGAAGTTGAAAACTCCTCTCTCTGGTTGGTGCAGACTCCATGGCACATACCTGCAAGGATGTACTTTGTTAATGTTCAAAAGGTGATCAGGCTGGTGATACAACATAGATCTGTAGCAGTGTTCCTACGTGGTGAGGGTGTTGATGCCACAGGCCTTCATTTTCATCAGGCGGTCCCTCCAGTAGGCCCTGGGCACACGGAAATAGTGGATGGATCCCCCAAGGATGTGGAAGGGCTCCCCCTCCAGGGTGAACTGAGAGGAGTTGGCGCTCAGGCCCACCTTCCTGCTCATCCTCCGTCCCCCTGCTGGCACGCTGGAAGAGGAGTTGTGGTTTATTCGTGTCATGCTCACATTATGTAGCACCTATTGTGTGTGAATTGACCACATGACATGCTTGATAGAAGTTTGCAGACGTCTCGTGTTTGCAAACAGAAGGAACATATTTGAATTTAGAGGGAAGACAAACACTTCACATTAACTTTTTAATAAATTCTTTTTTTTGTAATATCCATTATGTTGTAGTTAAACTCGCTCTTTATAAATAAAGATATATACGAAAAAAATATATATAATACGAGCAATAGTTAGGTTCAGAGTAAAATTGTTCTTTAAGATCCTATAGTGTCATCTTCCTAACCTATAGAGATTTATTGCAGTGTCTGTAGTGTGCAGTACCTTCAAGTAGTTCCATCACATTTACTATTACAGGACCTCACTCTAATAGTAACCTACAGTCATATCATTAGAGAGCCAATATTACAACTTAACGGATCATTAACTCACAGTTAAAGTACAATGAGGCTCAAACTGCCTCAACCAGCTCTAACTGCAACAACAGTGAGAACTTAACTTACCCGAGATATCTGTACATGATGAACCCAACAATGCACAGACAGATGAGTGTGTATTTCCTTTTGTGTGCATTTCTTATCCTCAGGACAACCATCGATGATGTGTGACATGGGCAGTAGTCGGGTTAAGTTCACAGCGGCACCGGAGCACACATGAACGGATGATGCGGGCGTGAGTAAAGCACCGCCCTGTGGGAGTGTCCCTGCACAGCCACGGAAACCTAATACACCTCATCGATAGGGTTTGCCTGTGTCTGTGTTACTCTTTAGTTTTGCCAGAATTGTACAGGTGAGGATGATGTACCGACATCCAGTATGATTATATTCTTGATAGTAAAACACAAAGTTAAACATTTAATCTTTTTAAACTTAAAAACTTTATCTTACAGACCAAAACATAAACCCAGTTATGGAGAGACTTTCCAGCAGATTATATCAACATTTCTTAACATTTCAATAGTGGGTCACATTTTTCTGAATATTACACAACTTCTACAACATCAGAGATGAAGACAAAGATTGTGGTGTATTATGGTGGTGCATATGAGACAAAGCAGCCTCTGAGTCATTGATTTTATTAAAAAAAAACTTGGCAAACAAGCAGCAGCAGAGCAAAGGAAAGTGACATATACCCACAACTTAAACTGAATTTATGCTCTGCATTCCATTCAAAAGAAAACACCAAAAAACCTAAACTACACGTAATGTTCAAAATTACAATTATAACGTAACTTTACCATAAAACATGAAATTTAGTGGTAAGTTCTCTCAGCAGAGATAACAGGGGCTGGTGCCCAGAGGGAAGTGGATACAGGGATATGTCACCAAGTTGATCTCAGTCAGATCAACACTGAGGACTCCATCAAGACAAAGGCAACCATTGATGGAGGACACAATCTGTCTCATCAGCCTGTGGAGGTATCGTTCATGTGATCGATATTGTAGATGGCCTCATTATCCACCTTGAAGGTACAGTCACAGTGCTATAGGATGGTGTGGGTGATCAGGGTGGAGTTGTAGGCCTTTTGTCAAAGTCAACAGAGGGACAGGAGGGAGGTCAGACCAGAGCTGGTGCCACCTCCGAAGCTGTGGAAAACCAGGAAAGTCAATGATCAAATATATGAGATACAGATGTGTGATTAATCTATTGCTGTTGTCCTAAATTTACCCACGAGTACGAGGATCTTGTCCAGGACCAGGTCAATGATCTCTTTACCCATGGTGTCCACGGGTGTACATCCTCCTTGCCAGAGATCAGCTGCTCAGGGTGGAATAGCTGGCAGTAGGTCCGGGTTTGTGCCTCATCAAAAGATTCAGTAAAAAAATGTCTTGAAGGTTTGACTAACTGAAATCAAGAAACAAGTATGGCATATATATAATGAGCGTTTACTGATGGCAATGGGTTCCAGGTCTGGGGGATGTGATTTCCACTTCCAGTGTAACTGAAGACATTTTTCTCCACTAATGGTTGGAGGAAGGAGAAAGTTTAAAAAAAAAAAGATTATTTGTAAAGACCCATTAGATACCACGACATCATGACCAAGTCACTTGGCAAAAATGGATGCATTTATTCAGGCCCAAACACATAGGCTTAATTTTTGCATAAAAGATGATTAAGACAGAAAAATAATGTCATACTGAAAATATCATTACACAAAAGCTCTGTGGAGGAACAGCTGTGTTCATATTTTGTACAAATGCAATTCTTAAAACCACTCGAACAATGCAACAACAATTAGATTAAAACTGCGACAATTAGTCGAATAGTCAATTAGTCAAGAACAGAAAATTAATCAGCACCTATTCTGATAATTAGATAATCATTTCAGTTATTTTATAAGCAAAATTCCAAACATTTGCTGCCTCCAGTTTCTTAAATGTGGGGCTTGGTTTTAGGTCATATCATTGAAAACTGAATTAGGGTCAAAAGAACAAAACAAGATAGTAGACCTTACCTTGGGCTCTGAGAGAGTTTAGCTTTTTTTCAACTATTTTCCGGGCATTTCATAGACAAAATGATTTAAAAAATTTGTCTATCTTTAAAGATTATAATGTTTAGATGCAGGCCTAGAAAAGATTACAGATTATTCTGTTACCAAAGCCTTAATAATATGTTCTTATCTGAATGAATATTTAATTATATAATACATTATACATACATACACAAAAATTTTCCTTAATTTTAATGCCAAATACTCCTCTTTAAAACAGTAATATGATATACGAGCCTCCTACCTGGAGGACTACACTTCCCATGTTCCTTAGAGGTCGGAGCTTGCGCAATATGTATTCCACGGCCCTGGCTGCTGGTAGTGTTGTTTAGTGTTGTTGTTGTTGTGACATTAAGGGGGGCTAAAACAAAGAATTGACGAAGTTAATATAACCCTGAGCCTGTCGCATGAGGTAAGGAAGACACTGTGATTGACTATGAGCTCTGTCTCTGACTTTACCCTCTGGTTTCGCGATTGTCTTGACCGTTAAGACAACAGTTAAATTAGTTGTTGAGCGTTAGCTAGCAACCCAGGCAGAAAAGCTAGCAGAGCACCAAACAAACCAACGAAAATCAAAGATTATGAGACTAGAGGCGTCATGCTGACCGGACTAGCTACACAGTGACAGTCTTCACATATCAAATTGTTAAGCGTTTTCGGTTGGTCGGAGAGAGCCAGATTACACTGTCCGCTGTCACCTATGTAAGCTAACTGACTCAGCTTGCGAACGTTAACTTGGTCAGATAAACAGTATCACCAAGAGACACACAACGCTTCACTTTCACCTGTTTTCACCATTATAAAACGTGTAGAACTGCCTCAGACTAAGAGAGGTGGGGCTGCTGTTGTAAAACATCACCATGCAAACAAATCCAAGGCTCTGTTGTAAATAGATAGGACAATAGCAGCATTCATTTAACAGACAGTAGCTATGCTTCCATAATTTCAGCTAGCTAATATCATCAGATCCTGATACACTGACCTGTTTTCAGTGTTTGTGAAGTTGGTAACTAGTGTGTCGTCTTTTTCCGTCATGTGATACACAATGCACTGTTATTTACATCTCAGAGGACCACATACAGTGTCCAGGACAAAGAAAGGCTTATTGTTAAAACAATTAAGTAATATTTTAGGGAGAAGTGACAAATCACACTTTGGCATTAGTTTTTTTTAATGAAATGTGGTTGATTTGGTGGGTTGATGAGGTATCTTTAGAAAGTTATATCACACATGAATCAGCACCATATGGCTCCCAAATATGGCACATATGTTACGAGGTGCCAAACAGCCCTTTGTCATTGAACTGTTTCAATGCCAGAGGGGTATCTGTCATGCATTTAGTAACTGTTATTGTTCCTTGAAGTAAAATATTAGCAGTAAAAAAGTTGGAGTCTCATGAATGTACTTGAAAAACAGCCAAATTTAGAAATGCCGAGATCACTATTTCTACAGCCAGCAGCCAGTCAGAGGCCTAAATAAGCCACTATCTAAAGTGCTGATTTTCTAAACAATCAGTTAATTCTGCTGGTTAAAGCTGATGTGGATGGGAATGTTAAATAAACTACTGTATATTGCAAGCAAATTGTTTGATTGTAAGATTATTGTAAATTGCTAGAAGAAGTTCAACCCATTAGCTCTTGTCCTAACTTTGCCTCTGTGGATTTGGGTGGTTGCAGGTTACTGGGTGAGCCCCTCCCTGCCATGAGAGCTGACCACCAGGTCACAAGCCCCCCCTCCTTCTGCAGTTGATGGATCTGCAGCTGGTCCAGAGATGACAGACAGCGTCAGGGCCTTCCTCCGCAATGTTGCGACGGTCAGCAGACACGTGCACACATACACACTGTACTAACACAGTGATCCGTGAAACTGATCCATGCATTCATACTAATGGATTCATTCAGCTTCATTTTAAAATAGCAAAGACAGATACTGCCGGGCCACTTTATTAAGTACACCAAGTTGTTATATTTTGTCACCCTCGAGTATGTAAATGGGGTGGACAAAATATTACAAACACCTTTCAATATAATGCAGTTGAGTACGACAACACCACCACTACAGGCTCAATAATAAAGAAATAAAGTAGAGTTATCACATTTCTGACAGTGTCAACTAAAACTAAAAATTTATGATCTTTGTTAAATAAATTCATTGCATTATTGGATTGTATTAGTACAGCTGTACCTAATAAAGTGGGAAGAGAGTGTAGCAGGTTTGTTCGATTGTTGTTCTGCTAAGCAGATTAAGGATTTTTATCATGACACACTGACAGTCAAGAAAACAGTTGGCATACAGTATGTCCAGAGCAAAACATAACAACCATCTGCATGTTATTAACCCCTCTTATACAATAGGCCTGAAGTAAATTCGTCATTAATGGAGCCTATAATATATTTGTTGTAGTGTCCACAGAAATTCTGTATCGCATTCTCTGAATGATGTACAGTACTGTGCAAAAATGATATTGTAGAAGGAATATGAGCATTTTACTTAATAGTCTCTGGGTTGGTATTGTGTTAAACCCTTCATTAAATGCACCTGACCCTAAAAGAACTTCAGTTATATCATTTTTATGGAGAATATCTCACAGCACCTTCATGCACAGTTTCAGAGGGCCTTTCAACTGGACATTAACCTGAAACACAAGCTATACACAGCTTTGTAATTCATGTGTTCAACGAGCACTAGCTGAGACATCAAGGCGTCATGACATAGGTCATTTCAACAAGTTAAAAATGTCATGTGTATTTTCTCTCTCTTGCTCTGGGCTGTCTAGGGGATCAAGGACTCCATATTGGGGATTGGGACAATCTCCAAGCTGGATGCCCGCATCCAGCAGAAAAGGGAAGAGCAGCGGAGGAGAAGGGCCAGTGGGGCCCTGGCACAGAGAAGGGCACAGAGTGAGGAGCGCAAACCAGACAAGTAAGCCTGGAAGAAAAAACTGTATATTTTGGTTCCAATGCTACTGTTATAATCTGACTCTGGCTAATGAAGAAAATGCTCATGCATCATTTCGTATTTCCTTGCAAACATCATGTGATTTATGGGATTGAGTAGCTTCATCTGAAAGGCATGCAGCTCCTCCACCTGACAGTTTAATATTCTGACTCAATAAGTTTAGCAGATTTGTAAGAAATTATTACTTACAAAAACAGGGCTTTCTTGCCCTGACATGAGTCTCACAGGTAGAACTTCCTGTGTACCACTTCCAACAAACTCTGTCAGTCAGTCAAATGATTATATCTTTTTTTTTTTTTTTTTTTTTTTTTTTTTTTTAATTTTTTCGGGCTTTTTTATGCCTTTATTGATAGTGCAGTAGAGAGAGACAGGAAATGGGGAGGCAGAGAGAGGGGGAGTGACATGCAGCTAAGGGCTATCCGATGCGGGACTCGAACCGGGGCCAACTGCAGCGAGGACTGTAGCCTCTACACATGGGCCAGATGCTCATCCAACTGAGCTACTCGACCCCCCAGTCAAATGGTTATATCTGACTGTCAATAAGAGATAGTTTGGGTTAGGGTCTACCAATCCCACCAATCCTTGCAAAAGAGAAGAGTTTACACAGATTGAAAGGAAGTGCTGAACTTAGGTTGACAAAATACCATGAGCCTCTGTTGTGTCTCTTATGTCTTGTAAACAAGACGTGGTTGGACATTTTTCTACATTATATGGTGATGAAAATAAATATATACATGTGTAAAATCATCATTATCAGTGTATGTGTATATCCCTCATCTGAAAAGACCTAATTGCTAATTGACATCACACTTAATCAAATCCACACTTCTAAATACCTTCAGCCTGGACAGACCTGTAGAATTAAAGTGAAACTACACTATTCCTTTAATATTCTACAGTGATGATCATTATGATTATTGATTTTCTTTTTCAGTGAACCCAAAGTAGCCAGTAGGATTTTTCAGTGCTGTGCCTGGAATGGAGGAGTGTTCTGGGTAAGATACTGAACCAACTGTTACACTACATAGTTTGGATGGCAGTTTTTCTTCCCATATCTTTTAGCTTCTTTACAATTTTTCCTTCTTGTAAATTGTCAACTGAAGAAATGATCTCTCAGATAACCAACTCTGCTACACCCATGTTGTGTGGCCTTGATGAGCTCTGTTCCCCTGGGTGCTGTCTGCAGGCCCCCAAAACTCTTAAACTGTCTTCAGTGTGATTACATAAATACAGAGTTTTTACAGTTTTTAGATTTAATTTGAATTTCCTGGTTGTGTTAGTTTTAAGGTTGATGTAACTTTCAGATGCGATGTTCTTTTATTATATGAGTATTATACTACACAGCACATTATGAGTTGAAGATTAATTATAGCATCTCATCTCGCCTCCAGCTCAGTCTGTTTCTCTTCTACCGGGTGTTTATCCCACTGCTGCAGACTCTCACAGCAAAAATCATTGGTATGTATTGCTGCTGGTAATTCTGGGGCAGGTTGTCTGTCTTGTGGCAGGAACCAGTCAGTCAACAAGATGTTTTTTTTGCTCCAGGTGACCCTTCCCTCCATGGCAGTGTGTGGTCCTGGTTAGAGTTCATCCTGACCTCCGTCTTCAGCGCCCTCTGGGTTCTTCCTCTGTTCGTTCTCAGCAAGATAGTCAATGCCATATGGTTCCAGGTTAGGCCCAGTTTGCTATGCTGTTATGATGTGATGACACAACAGGCAGCCATTTTTAAATGTATGCGTAGATCCAACTGCAAAGATTGATATTTCATACCCACAAAGTTATCAAAATTGTATCCTTGTCAAGGGTCTTAAATGGCTTTTGTTACACGTTGTCTACAGCTATATAATAAATCATATTTTATTGTCAGTGGAATATTAGTGTTTATAATTGAGTTACAGTCACAGATGACTTCACAATGGGCTGCAGTGTAGCTGAGATTCACAAAGCCAGCTCTGCTTCTCCCATCCTTTATAATGAAGTCTGTTCTACGGGAACAATGTTTCAGACTGATCCTTTATCACAAAAAGCACAAAAATGGTAAAATATACAGTAGACTTTTATTGATGTGGTGAGTTGAACTGAAGTCAGACAGGTCATGTGGAGTCCTGTGGCTTCAGCTGCTTCACAGTAAAAGCCCTGCTGGGAATTAAATGGAAATTGGGTATGAATGAGGCATCATTGCAGGGCTTTTATTATGAAACAGCTGCAGGTACCTCAGCATTCACAACAGTGTTTGAATGAACCTGAATTTCTAACTTGACGCTACTTTGGACTTTTCTCTGCACTTTTATTTCAGTGCATCAGGACATAATAGTACAAAAATAAATATTAAAATACTGTTAGTAAAAAAAAATTTTTTAAGCAACAGACCATTGTCTTTCAGGTCACAGATATAGATATAAACGTGTGATTCTCTGTTGCAGGATATTGCTGACCTAGCATTTGAAGTGTCTGGCTGTAAAGCTCAGCCGTTCCCCAGCGTCAGTAAGATCATCGCAGATATGCTCTTTAACCTCCTGCTCCAGGCACTCTTCCTCATTCAGGTACATTTTGAACACAAACAGGATCCATGATCAGACACCTCTTTCTGTGTTTCTCTGTTTATCAGTATTACAAACTCACACCGTACTGCATACACCCAGAACTCCTTTATCTGACTCAAACTCACAATCGCTGCTCAGGATGTTTGAGATGAACAGTTAAAGTGAAGTGGCCCAGATTCACCAAATGTTTGCTCAGTGTGCGAATTGTTTTGACACTTTTCTGAGTGAGTCACAAAGTTGTGCTGTTCATGAAAAATGTGCAAAGAGGTCTAATTGCACTATGGATATTCAGACCAGCTGCTATCAACGGCATCACCCCCAACATCTCAGGCAAACAGTTTCATTCCTGGACTCTCAAGTCAGTTCAGAGAAAGTTAACGTTATGAAAAAGCTTTATGGCAAAGTAGTTACTTGTTTTGAAGACTTTTGCACCACAACTTGATCTGCATTGTTTTATTTCTATACAAATTAGACATCATTTCTGCTCTCCAAAGCAAATGGGATGAAAATGCACAACCTGCTCTCTCAGCACAGTCTCTGTGAATATAATCATGTTGTGTATTTTCGTGCTCCTCTAGGGTATGATCGTTAGTCTCTTCCCCATCGATGCCATTGGACAGATGGTGAGCCTCCTCCACATGTCTCTGCTCTACTCCCTCTATTGCTTTGAGTATCGCTGGTTTAACCATGGTGAGACACTTGCATTGCACTTTAGACCCAAAATAAATAATTTGCATTGAATGGAGAACTCAAACAAAAATGTGGCTCCTTATGTTTTTTTAAGGCATTGAGATGCATCAACGGCTGTCCAATATTGAGAGGAACTGGCCCTATTACTTTGGCTTTGGTTTACCAATGGCTCTGCTGACCGCCCTGCCCTCCTCATACATCATTAGGTAAAACAGCTGGGAATTAACTGTTCGGTTCATTGAATTTGAAAATAATAATTAGCTCCAGCACTTGTGTACTTTTTACTTGTAAGTGTAAATCTGTATTTATCCATTTTGCAGTTGCTACAGAAGGTTTTTACACATTGTCATAGAACAGTTATGAAGTTACTTGAAATTACCTAATCTCAACTCCATCAACACAATATGCTTGTGATATGACAATTAGGCAAACTGTGTTATAGTACAATGATGTGTGTCTATGAAAGTTTTGTGAGGCTTCAGTAAAGGAAAAATTTGATTTTTGTACAGGAATTTTTTTCAAATACATTTGTACATTTAGTGTCAGTGCCCTCAGTGAGAAAGTATGATTGGACAAGTAGTCAAAGAGAGTGATGGACTGATAAAGTTGGATAAAATCAGCAATTAAAATACGTCACATTGGACTTTGGGCATTTTGTTTCTTGACATTTTACAGACTTAAGCATTAATTCAGAAAATAATCAGCAACTTAATCAGCTATTGAAATAATTGGTAGTTGCTGCCCTAAAGATATTTTTTTATTGTCTGGTAAGTGGACACACAGGAAGTTTGAACGAGAGGAAGGTTTGGAAACCAGACCTCATACTATCCTTTACTGCCTTTAATATATCTATTTCTTTATCTTCCTTTTCTACTTAGTGGCTGCTTGTTCTCCATCCTCTTCCCTCTGTTCATCATCAGTGCTAATGAGGCTAAGACACCAACTAAGTTGTAGTAAGTCTAAAATAAAAAGTTTTTTTTCTTTTTAAATGGTTTCCTTTCTATGAGTCACTGATGACATTTCCACTCTTTCAGCCACTTCCAGCTGCGTCTCTTCTCCCTGGTTGTGTTGATCAGCAACAAGCTTTTCCACAAGACAGTCCACCTGCAGTCCTCCCTGACGTCGTCCACCTCCTCAGAGAGACTGTTGTCCCCTCACACTTCCCCAACCCGCCAGAGACTTGTGCCCACCCAGTGATGGATCCACTCGAAGGAGATGGGATAGCAACTGATGAGTGGCTTCACTCAGTGTGAAAAAGTGATTCTTCCAAAAGGGTTCCCTTAATGAAGATGATATGCGGTTTAGGATAAAGGGTTGACATGTTTTTATCTAATCTCTTTGACCCTTTGGTTATTCACTTGCAGCAAACCACCAGACACATTTTCAGTGTGACACAAAAATCGACTGCCCTGTGCCTCACACTCAAAACACATTATATACTCAGCTCTTGACTTGTTTTATTTTGTGAATTTTCTTTCATTGTTTTTTGTATAATGTGCCATTTGAGTGAATCTCCTTTAATAAATTACAGCACAAGAAATCACTTAGTTTTAATATGTTTAAGCAAACTTGTGACTAAGGATTTTTTTTACTTTAAAGGGGCTTGTTTGCATTCAGAAGCAAAGCACAGTCTGTCACCTACAGTATGTTTTCTTGATGTTGCAAGTCACATTCCTTCCTCACAGGTTGAATGCTTTCTTGCACATCTATGTTTATCTCTCATTTGATGGTGTTCAACCAGTTCCAGGAGTGACCTTGCACAGTTACAAAGGGAGGATATTCTTGTCCTGTTACAGCTTTGTGTTTAGAGGAATTCGCAAATCAGTTCAGGAGCTGCTATAATAAGGATTGGTGACCTTAATAGTGGAAACCAAATAACAAAGTCACTCTTGTGTGTGTGTTTGGTTGGTGTCTCATCCCAAATTTAAACCTCGCTCCACTGACTGATGAGATATACATGTTGCAAACTGCAAGTGACACCAGCAAAAGGAAAAGCTGCCTCAGTGTTTTCAGTGTGTTTGAATATAGTAGGTGATAGGTGAGATGACACTGCCAAACTGCTGCGTCTATGTTTTGTTTATTTCACTTCAACCACTACAATGCTAAGCTCTGTGATAAAGGAAGGAGTCCTGTAGTTTTAGTCTTTATAACGGGTGATCAGCCTTAACCTGCTTGCTCTAGTTGTCCCCTCCCAAGAGAGCCGAAGCAAATATAACTGGTCCCTAAAGATCATTGGCTGTTTGCTTTTTGTGCTGTACATAGTATTAATACATACTGAATGTTCAACCAGAGCCCCACCACCATGCAGCGACCCAGTCACTGAGTTTCCCTCACTCATCAGGGGGGAAGGACCTTGATTTTAAAACAGTGTTTGTGCAGACTGATATTTGTGAGTGAGGTTTTGTAAAAGTAATACGTCTAATTTCAATAAAATTGGTCCGTATTCAATATTTTGATCACTGTGTTCAGGGTTTTGCTACAACTCACTTAACACTAGTACACAACAAAGCAAGATATGGTGGGTGTGCAATCCACAATTTACTGTTAAGTATACGTACAGAGGCAGGTAATGTGTGTTATTGTGAGAATTTAATGTATATTGTTGACATGAATTTTGTTAGTCACTTGGGGAAACTCGCACTGTTACATTCTGATCTGATCCCAAGAAGGACCACTGATAAAACATTAATTATGTATTCACCTGTGTGAAAATATTGAAATATTATTATAATTAATACTAGTGAACTAACTGTTAATGTCCCATTGTCATATAGCTGATCACAGTTCATATTTACCGATTTTCCGCGGTGACATTTTCTTGTCGTAAAAGTTGTGAACCAGCAGGGGGCGACACGTTTCTTTTTCCTCACTAAGGACACGTCACTACACTACGCCGACAAGGTAGGGACTCAAATTTGAAGGACAGCCGAACAACCAATCAGATTAATGTGGATTTACTGTTGACTGACGCTCAACCAATAAACGCGCACACCAGCTCGTTATGGGCGGGATTAGCTCACGGTGAAGGTTGTGTGTGAAAAGTGTATGAGTTACAGGAGCGGAGCGGGTGAGTCTTATTGAACATTAAGTAATGAACTTGTGAGCTCATTTAGGAGCAGCATTTTTTTTTTTAAGCTGTTGTCCTGCTGCAACATGTGAAGGTGGTGTTTACAAAATAAGACCGAGAAAAGACACGGAGTTAGGGTGTTCATTATACAGCAGCTAGTAGGTTAGCCTCGCTAGCTACTCACACACTTCTAGCTGGATGAAGGCAGCATCAGCATTAGCCGGCCTGATGCTGACTAGTTATACGATGCTGTTTAATCCGTAAGAGCGTGTGTTCCGTTTAAATGCTCATATCGTGTGAGTTAAAAGCCAGATAAAAGGTACTAGCTGCTGTTGATTTCTTGCTCTGATTTTGCAAAGGCTTGGAAGCTGTCAGTACCTCTAAGGCTCGCTCTGATGGTGCCGCCTTCAAAGTTAGCGTTAATTAGAGCTCTGCAGAGCTTAATGGGCTGTGTTTTCACTTTGCAAAGATGATTCTTAGTGTAAAATCTGAAGAAGACAGACACGACTCCCTGCAGAAGTTTTCTAGAGTGGGTGCTTCCTGGTTCCTGACGCCACATCTTAGTGCGTGGCCTTATCTGGTTGGGCTGGACATGGACGTTCACTCCTGCTAGAGCTGAAAGACTTTGATTTCTCTTATGAATGTCTGGCTTTCTCAAAAAGATTGTGAAAACTTTACCTCATTTTGCAGGATTTTTTTCTGAGCATGAAGATTATCTTAGTCCGTGTTGGACTACAGATGCCTCGGCTGTGCTTTTCTCCACATTTGTCCCAGTGTTACAATGTTTGTCTTCCTCCCATCAGGTAGTACGGTGAGCTGTCCCTAACCTCGCCAAAATGACCAAGCTGGGCTTCCTGCGATTGTCCTATGAGAAACAGGACACGCTGCTGAAGCTGCTCATCCTGTCTATGGCTGCTGTCCTCTGTAAGTCCCCTATGTCCTATACACACCAGTCTTGTCTACTTAATACTTATAAACAGATATAACATCTGGATTAACTTGTGTGCTTTCTCTTTTCTTCAGCATTCTCCACCAGACTCTTTTCTGTCTTGAGGTTTGAAAGTGTCATCCATGAGTTTGATCCGTAAGTACCACTTGTATCATGGTCATCTCCAAGGATTGTTAGATGATGTTCCTCCTTAAAGTAACGTCTCACTTTCACCTTAATCTCACCTTTAGGTACTTTAACTACCGTACCACCCGCTTCCTGGCAGAAGAAGGATTTTACAAGTTTCACAACTGGTTTGATGATAGGGCATGGTATCCTCTGGGGAGGATTATTGGTGGCACCATCTATCCAGGTAGGAATCAGATTAAATTACCATAGAACTGAACAAGTAAACAATTACAAGCTCATGAGCTTTTTTTTCTGGGTTTTTTGCTTTGAAGTTCAAGGGTTATATCGGGTTCAGAGGAGAGATGTCAATTAGCCAAAGCTTACTCGAACAAATCTCCTTCTCTTTTCCCTCACCAGGACTGATGATTACGTCTGCCGTCCTGTACCACGTCCTACATTTTTTCCACATCACCATTGACATCCGTAATGTCTGTGTCTTCCTGGCTCCATTGTTCTCCTCCTTCACTGCCATAGTCACTTACCACTTCACCAAGGAGCTGAAGGTAAGTTGTATCTTACATAATAAGATACAAAATAAAATATATCAATTAAGGTTATAAACTCTAACACTGGATCCTACAATTCCCATAATGCAACTCAATAGTGTCTCTCATTAGGCTCTCATTGGCTGGCAAATACTGCCATCTTTTAAACTCCACGCCACCAGTTTGTAACCCAGAAGTGTCAGTCTGATGCAGGATAACCCAGATGACATAATCAAGCTTATTTCCTTAGAGTTAGAAATTTTGCTTCAGTGCACCGAGGATATTATATGACTGTATAGCCTGAGTGATAATCCTTATGACAAGTAACTGTTATTTGTGTGAAAAATCTGTGAAGTGCCCCTTTAAAATCCCATTAGTAGAATCACTGGAACGTATGCTCAGTACATGAGGACTGTTTTCTGTTGAGATTAATAGTTTGCTTATTGACTGTAAGTGTACTTCCAGTAAACAGCTGTTTGTCTGTGTAGGACGCAGGTGCTGGGCTCCTGGCTGCTGCCATGATCGCAGTGGTGCCCGGTTATATCTCTCGTTCTGTTGCTGGCTCCTATGATAATGAAGGTATGTGCATGTTGTGCATAACAATGTTATTCACAGAAAATATCTCACAAGGATTGTTAATCGAATCCCTCTGTGCTGTCCTCCTCAGGTATCGCCATCTTCTGCATGCTGCTGACCTATTACATGTGGATCAAAGCGGTCAAAACAGGTTCAGTGTACTGGTCGTCCATGTGTGCACTGGCCTACTTCTATATGGTGAGGAGATCTGAACCTCTACATATTTGACTGAACTAATGCAGAGTTTGCTGGGGTCATGACAAGGTATTTTTGTGTGTGTGTAGGTTTCCTCCTGGGGTGGCTACGTGTTCCTGATCAACCTTATCCCCCTGCACGTCCTGGTGCTGATGCTCACAGGCCGATTCTCTCATCGCATATATGTAGCTTACTGCACAGTCTACTGCCTGGGCACCATCCTCTCCATGCAGATCTCTTTTGTTGGTTTCCAGGTAAAGTGAAATTGTTGCATCCGTACTCTGGTTCTTGTGCCTTGTCTTGAGGAACATCATTAGAGTGTCCAGGAGAGAAAACATTTCTGAATTGTCAAATTCATACCATCATCTAGGCCAAAGAAGATGAAAAACAAGTCATTGTCACATGATAGCGCAAAGAGGTTTCACTCAGTTCATCTCTCTGTTTCTCCTCTCATACACCAGCCGGTGCAGTCATCAGAGCACATGGCAGCCTTCGGTATGTTTGGCTTGTGCCAGATTCATGCCTTTGTGGACTACCTGCGCAGCAAACTCAATGCCCAGCAATTTGAGGTGTTGTTCAAGAGCGTCATCTCACTGGTGGGCTTCATCTTGCTGTCTGTGGGCACTGTTCTCATGCTAACAGGTAAGAGGAGTGACAAGATGCACTAGTAGATAAACTGGCATATGTGGACAGAAAAACCTTTTTAAAACGTTTGCTTCACCCTTCCCTACCGTGACTGACCTGAACTATATTTCCTTCAGGTAAGATCTCTCCATGGACTGGTCGTTTCTACTCCCTGCTGGACCCCTCCTACGCCAAGAACAACATCCCCATCATCGCTTCCGTCTCTGAGCACCAGCCCACCACCTGGTCCTCATACTACTTTGACCTCCAGCTGCTCGTCTTCATGTTCCCAGGCAAGTGTACACTCAGCATAAACACACAGAGTAGTAAATTGTTTATACTGTAAGATCACTCTGAATGAAGCAAACAGTTTGATTTTCTGACTGACAGTTACCTTTGCTTTCCTCACAGTTGGACTTTACTACTGTTTCAACAACCTGTCGGACGCCAGGATCTTCATCATCATGTATGGAGTGACCAGCATGTACTTCTCAGCTGTCATGGTACGTCCTGTATAGAGCTGCAGATACTTCTCCTGAGAGAAGTATATATATATATATAACATGTGAACATGCACCTGCTTTACATGTACTACGGGTTAATGTGCTTCCTGTTTGTTGCCTCCTCAGGTGCGTCTTATGTTGGTGCTGGCTCCAGTTATGTGCATCCTGTCGGGCATCGGTGTGTCCCAGGTGCTAACCACTTATATGAAGAATTTGGATGTGAGCCGGCCAGACAAGAAGAGCAAGAAGCAGCAGGACTCCACCTACCCCATCAAAAACGAGGTAGGAAGCGAAGACTGGTTCAGAGTGCTGGTTTAACTGGTAGAGGGTGGTGACATTTTTGTATGCCATGCAAATGTTGTGGCATAAAACATCATACAATTCAAACTGGTTGAACCTCATCATTTAGATCCAGTGGGAGCCACAATCATTGACAGCACTGATGATGTTATTATTAAGCCAGATAATACAGTGATAATACATTCCAGGTAATACAGAGGTATTATATGGTTATGACTTCTACCATGTCTAGCTTGTTCTTTTTTTCTCTTTTTTAATGGCTATTATATATAAATGAGTATAAGGTCGGGGTTAAATTGAATAATTAGCATTGTATCCTCAGGCCTTTTGAAAAATAGATGTTGAAACTGTGTTGTGTAAAGCAACATGTCGCATTTTTGAGTATTAAAATATGGTTTCAGAGGCCATAAAATTTTGTTCCTCCCTCTGTTCGTTTTATTTCTGTTTCCAGTGGTGGGCATTTAGTTCTGAGATTCTTGTACTTTACTTATTTATTTGATAACTGAAGATACTGGGTCCTTGTCGGATTAAGATTTTAGACAAAAAATTATACGACAAGCTTTAGAAAATTCAACATATTGTTAAACATTTAACCAGTGGCTCCCGACCTTTTGGCTAGCGACCCCTGACATAAAAGCATTTGAGGCTCCTTGTCGTATTTCAGATGTCTAAGCAGTTCCAACGAACAGACTTTTCCCCTCTAAACTTTCTCAGATGGCTTCATTCAAGTAATTCTTCAGGGAGCAACGGTAAAATGGTAAAATTATCGAATGTATTACAGAGGAAAGCAGAGACTAGAGAGAAGTCTAAAAACATTTAAACAGATTTCTTCTTTCCTCTCCCATTAATCATCTCACAACCCCTCAGAGTTACATTGTGAGCCTTTGGAGAGGCCAGACCCTTAGGTTGGGAACCACTGGACTAAACTTCCTAAGTAGGATTTTAAATGCAGGACTATCACTTGTAATGGAGTATTTTTACACTTTCACTAAATTAAATAAAATATTTATGAACATTGAAAAAATCTCTTGTGAAGATGTTGTGATGATGCATACTCTTTTACAAGTAAAATACTTTTGCATTCTAATTAAATGAAGCTGATTTTTTTTTCTTAGGCCATCTTTATTCCAGTAGTCAGAATAAAAGCACACATGCAAGGTTAAGACCTGATGACATCCTGTGTTTCTTACCTACCAGGTTGCCAGTGGGATGATTCTGGTCATGGCCTTCTTCCTCATCACATACACTTTCCATTCTACTTGGGTGACCAGCGAAGCATACTCCTCTCCCTCAATTGTCTTGTCGGCGCGTGGAGGTGATGGAAGCCGCATCATCTTCGATGACTTCAGAGAGGCCTACTACTGGCTCCGCCACAACACTCCTGAGGTCAGTGACACCCAGAGAAATAAAGAATAAGTCAGTTATTACAGCAGGATGCTGAGTTATCTGAATTGTAGAGATTGTTGAGATTGTCATTAGAGTCAGACCAATTTAACGGTTGGCCAATTTTATCGGCCGATATTGCATATATATATATATATTTTTTTTTTTTTTTTTTTTTTTTTTTTTTTTATAGTTATTTATTTTTACAGTTATTTTATTTAATTCCCAGTGAAGTTTACCGTTTCAGTGCACTGATGTCATTTTGGACAATAAAGTTTATTGTTAAACTGTAAAATATCCTGCTTTAATTACATATCTTTTTCACAGGTGTTTTATATATCAATATCGGAATTTTTTTACTCCCTAATATTGGTATTGGCATCGGCCCCAAAAATCCAATTTTCAGGCTCTAATTATCATAGCCATAAGGTCAAAGTGTTTCCATTCAAATACTGATTTGATTTTGTGGTTCCAGGATGCCAAAGTCATGTCATGGTGGGATTATGGCTATCAGATAACTGCCATGGCTAATCGAACCATTCTAGTGGACAACAACACTTGGAACAACACTCACATCTCCAGAGTTGGACAGGTGAGCTGGGTCACCTTCAGGGTACTCATGTTTCATAAAGTTCATAAAGTGCTGCTGTGTTAACCGGGGCTGCTGTTTGCTCTGTAGGCCATGGCATCTACAGAAGAGAGGGCCTATGAGATCATGAGGGAGCTGGATGTCAGTTATGTCCTGGTCATCTTTGGAGGACTAACGGGATATTCCTCTGACGGTACGTACCAAGTATCACTACATCAGAGTCAGTGCAACAATTTAAATATCCGCATGGACGGACGTATTTCTACTACACATAGAAGTTTTACCAGACACCCTCAAATGTAGTAGCATTTCTTCCATGTGATGATGTGTATAACCAGGTGTCTCTTGGGTGGTGTATTTGTTTTAAGATGGGACATTTTGAATAAAAACAAATGAAAAGGATGCAAAAAATCAGCCTCTTAGCTGTAATAACTCTTCTTTATGTATTATTTCCACTCCCCCCTCTTTAATTCAGACAAGTGCAATTTTATACTCATAGCCTTATATATTTCTATTTTTTTCATTTATTTATTACAACATGAGTACACATTTTTATATTATGATTATTTTTTTTATCCTTTTACCTATGTAATCTACTTCCTAATCTCTTCTCTTTTCTGGGGGAGCAAATGTAACCTAACCTAACCTAATATCCCCCTGGGATCAATAAAGTATTCTGATTACGTTTTCTGTGTGTTAACCCATCAAACAGGTACTGTGGATTATATGAATGATGAATGATTAAATATGATATAATATTTCCAGGGCATTTTTATGAGCACCTGTGTAATAATCAACCTCTGTCCATCACAGACATCAATAAGTTTCTGTGGATGGTCCGAATTGGGGGAAGCACAGACACAGGCAAACATATCAAGGAGCATGACTACTACACTCCCACCGGAGAGTTCAGAGTGGACCGCGAGGGCTCGCCCGTCCTGCTCAACTGCCTCATGTACAAGATGTGCTACTACCGCTTCGGCCAGGTCTACACAGAGGCCAGTGAGTAACCCTACAGCCTGGGATGATAATTTTATCACCTTGCATTAGACAGTTTCTCCTTGCAGTTAGAGACACATTGAGAATGAGCCACATGTGTGCCATTTTTGAAAGGACTGTAAAGTTCAGGCTGTTCAGTTTGTTTGATACACTGTATTTTAATCATTAAGTTAGACACAACTATGATTAAAACCAAGCATGTCTGTAAACACCTAGCGAAAACTACTGTGCCAAAATATTGTAGACATCAGCTGCTGACTGCACCGTACAGACGCAACATAAAATGACGAGTAAAGCATAGATATGATAAATTCTTTTTTGTGCTGTAATTCTGATGATCTTAATGATGTTCTCTGCAGAGCGCCCACCTGGTTATGACAGAGTGAGGAATGCTGAGATTGGGAACAAAGACTTTGAACTGGATGTGTTGGAGGAGGCCTACACAACAGAGCACTGGCTGGTTAGGATATACAAGGTAAAACCGTTAACTTTCTTTCTTTGACATGTCATATGTGTCTATAGGGATCACATGTTTGGTTTGGTTTACTTGACAAGGTTGGGTCTTAGCTGAGCAACAAAACTAAGCAACAGTTTTGATAATTGATTAATCATTGATGCAAATTTTCAAGCAAATATCAGTTTATAGTTGCAGGGTCTGAAATGTTAGAATTTGCTGCTCTCCTTGGTGTCTTACAATAAAGTCACATGAATATCTTATGGATTTGAAGTGCTGGTTAGACAAAACTATAGACATCACCTATGGCTTTTACCTTTCTTTTGATGTCTCAGAGGTCAAATGAAAACTCAGATTATCTGAATATTATTCAGTCATGAAAATAATACACAAGCATTGTATGAACTCTCAATAGATGCATTTCAACTGAACCATCTAACCTAGTCTTGTGTTCCATCTTGTAGGTGAAAGATCTGGACAACCGGGGTCTTTCAAGAACATAAAACCCTCAACTGGCAGTGAAAACAGCCTTTTAGCGCACAGCACTGAACACCTTCCCCTATGGTCTGCAGATGAGTGGGAAAAGAGTACTTTTTTTATACTTTTTGTTTTGGGGAAGAAAATTGCATCAGAGATTTTTTTTTTTTTTTTTTTTTTTGTGGATGATTTTCTTTTTTTTTTATTTTGTTATAATGAAATGTCTCATCTGGGATCAGAGGAAGCTGGTGTCTAAACATCCAGTCTGATGTCAGGAGTTTGCCATGAAGCGGTCAAAAGAAAGCAGTGTTCATTTATGAGCACTTTGGATTTTTACAATGTGGTCAATTAAAGTGGGGTTAAACATGAAAAACAGTGATCTGTCTTTTTTTTTTTCCTCTCATAAAATGCACAGAATAAAAAAACAGAATGAAGTGGTAACTCTACATAGTCATTGAGACACAACAGAGTTCTACATGTGACATTTGGGAAGTCATGCGTTTTTAAAACTGAAAATCTTTCAATCTTTCTTCCACTTTCTACAAAATAAGTTTAATGTAAAGAGAATTACAAGTTCTAATTCTTACTCATAAGAAAAAGATATGTCAAATGTAGTTTTGAGCATTTCTTATTTCATTCAAACACTTAACCGAAATTCAGGACAACAGTTATCACCCTTTTAACAAAAATATTTCAGAACCTTTCCGGTCACTTCAGGTGATTCACCTTCCATAAAAATAAGGGACTACTAAAGGAAGGACTAAAAAGATTTGTATGTGAGTGTGTATAGAAATGTGGTTTCAAAATGATGTAAGGAGGGGGTTGTTGAAGGGGAAGGGTCAGTTCAGGCTGGAAGAATGTTAATGAGGGATAATGTATTTATGGGGCATTTGAGGGATTTTAAAGACAGTCGCCACCATCAGAAGCCAAGTGTCACCAACCGCAGTCAAATGATCCAATACTGATTCTCATCACAGGAGCAACAAGGTACTCTCCAGCCACAGTCACCAATCTGATGCGGCTCAGGGATTCTCCACTAGAAAACTTGCGATGACTCAATAAAAACCATCAAATTGGATTTAAACTTGCTTGGTTTGCAGTTGAGACACTTGCTTCTCACTTACGCCATTCTTCCCTGCACTGTCTGTCTTCTCTCTCAGGTGTCAGCAACTATCCTCCCCATCCTCTCCTTTGCTGTGCAGTAAATGAGCAGTCTGTTTTCAGGCTGAATGCTACAACCCTCATAATTGAGGTCAATGGAATATTCATGGTTGTTTTTCCCTACTCAGTATTTCTTATAATTAATGAGGAAATTTGCTTGTATCAGCCATTTTGCTACATTTGCTCCCTGAACCTGAACACGGCTGCAGTATGTGGTAGAAAGCTGATGGTTTTCAGAGGTAGAGGTCTGTTTATTGATCTTCATCATGGCATTACCACAGATTGTTTATGTCCTGTATGTAGTCTGTATAAGAGACTATCAAGGCACAACTAACAAATAAATGAATGAATAAATAAAATAAATACTCTTTTATTGTAGAGCATTTGTCAATACATGTCAACTTTACATAAAATTATGTTAGAAAGTTACATATAAATACATTCAGAACAGAAAATTACTTGACAGGACTACTGTTGTCCCCACAATACAATAAAATGATTTAAAGTGACAGTTAAAATTATTTGAACAGAAACAGATTAGTAAAACCATCTTAACATCAGTATAAAGTGTCCTTTACACCCTGTCTCATAGAATTCTGAACACATATGTACAGAGCTCCTCACAGTCTGGTCTGGTCTGGCAGATCTTCTAGGAGGGCAGGATTTTTTCTGTAAATGTAGGCATTGGGATCATCATCGAGCTTCACCAACTCGGCCAGTGACGACACACAGGGATCGTGATCAACCAGCATCGTTGGCAGGTGGGAGGATTTGCGCTGGATGCGGCAGGAACGGCGCACTGGTGTCAGAAACTTCAGATCTTTGATGTTGCTCTTTCTCCGGGACGTACCGGCCTCACCTTCAATCGTCTTCTTCACACTACATACAAAAGATATTTGAAGGGGGAAAAAAAAAAATACTGTATTACAAGTGAAAATAAATGACTTTTTGGCTATTAAATTAATGGCAGAATAATGACAGGCTTGACTTAAAGGATTAAGCAAAAGAATGGCCTCACCTTTGCAGGTATGGAGTCGTCTTCACACTGTATTTAACGACTGAAGCATCCTCCATTGGTGGCGTGGTCTCCATCACATCGTCATCCTCGTCACTTTCTACTTCCTCAGCGTCATCCGTCTCTACTTTATCATCACTTTTTTCTGCTTCATTCTTCACTTGCTCAACCTTCAGCTGCTCGCAGACATCCTGCAGAATTGCATTCACCTCCTCTTTTATACATTCAGTCTTTGGTTTGTCGTCCTCCAATTCAGCATCACACTCATCTGACACCTGTGAGAGTTCTTACGGAGACAAAGGTAACAAGTTCAACAGTAAGCATCTGTATAGAGTGCAACAACAGCCAGAATAACCAGAAATGCCAGTGAGGTGAGTAGACTGATCATTATTATTTTAAGAACTACCTTAATACCACTGAACTTACCAAATTCAACACTACAAACAGATCATAGTCACACAGCTGAACTTACCATCGCTGCATCTAGAGGGCGTCACTATGGCCTCTAAAGCATCACACAGGTTTAGTACAATCTGTCAAAATGAAACGAAAAGAAGCTGGTTTATCATGGAAAGTAATATTTTTAATGCAGCTAAAACAGCTACAGTAACTATGCTTGTTTCCTTACGTCATCCATTCTGTCCTGTGGGTCAACAGGCAGATCTACATCAGAGTTTTCAAGCAGCTCCAGGGTAGTATTCATGATCGCTGTGGTTCGGTTGCATGTTGTTAACTGTGCTCCCTGTGTATCTGCACAGTTACCAGCAGCAGAATCTGGCTTATGTTCTTCCAGACTGTGTTCAGATTTGCTTTGTGCAGCACGCTGAGGCTCAACATGAGACTGGGATTTGAGATCAGCCTCAGGTTTGGAGACTCTGGTTTTTGGGGGTAGTGTTGCTGTCATGGCTGGTCTCTTGAAAGTCTTGCCCTTGGAAGCCTGCCACGCAGCCAGTTTTGCTCTGCAGACACAACACATAATTAAAACATTTTTGAAGTTTTATGATGTAAAGGAAAACATCAAATGTGTCTGTGTGAAGAACAAAAAATGTTACCGTCTTTCCTCTGCAGTCTCCGTGGTAAATCTGTACTGGCTAAGGGTGCTTGAGACAGGAGGCTTGTTGACCTTGTTGTCTATCACTGGAATTTTTGGCTTTGAGTTCTGAGTCCCACGTCCCTTGGTGGGAGCCACAGTTGTGTTTCTGGAACTAGTACTGGTTAGTGTTGCTGGGACGGTTCTGGCTGGAGCGCGAGCAGAGTAGAATCCAGCAGGAGGATGGCTGATGACAGCGGATTTGGAAACCTGAGCAGGTCTACTGACCACTGACTTCAACCTTGGTGGTGCAGGTTTTTGCGTGCCATGTCTAGGCAGGTCAGCAACAGATTTGGACCTGGCTTTTGCTGCATTTCCAACCCTTTGGCTCTCTGTTTTGGGTGCTGATCGTTTGTGATCTATCCTGTCCAGGCTGGCACTTGACTTCCAAATGGATCCAATTTTGGACTGTACCATCTTGCCTTTGTACATGCCAGGAGCAGATTTGAATGACTGCGCAGCAGCTGGTGGCTTGGGAGCTTCTGCAACCATTTTTCTGTGTTTCACAGCCTGCTCTGTGTGGAAGGCCCGGCTATATGTTTGTCGCTGTGTGACATCTGAAGCAGCAGCAGCTCCTTTCCCATCTTTCTGCACGGTCTTTACCTTTTTTAGAGCCTCAACACATGCTAACTTTGTGTCTGCCTGTTTGGCCTTGGCTTTAAGAGGACCATTTTTTGCCAAGGTCTCCTCTTTTTCATTGCTTTTCAGGTGGAATGGCGCAAGAGACGTTTTATCTCTTTTGATGAAGGGCTTGCTTCCATGTGAAGGCTGAGTATTCTCCTTGTTTCTCTAATAAAATCAAAACAATTAGACCATTATGTAGGCAAGGGAAGCTCTGAATGTTACTTAGCATTCAAAACGACATGAAAATCATTTCATGTGCTGTTCATTAACATTAACTTACTTTCTTATCGATGTGGTTTCGTCTTGAAACTGCGAAGTTGTCCATTGTGTAGTGTCAAAAACTGTTTAGTCAACGGAGATTTCTGGAAGGTGAACAAATCAATAAATACTATAAAACTATATATATGAATAAACTAGGTCATTACATAATTTAACATGCCATGATTATACTAGCAACGATCTATTTTATTACGCCTGTAAGAGTTCCACACTGTCAAAATTTTACGATTTCATAGCAAGTATTGGCAGTTTTCATGAGAAATTAACACCTGCTAGTACAATGACACATACTCTTTATCTACTTTTGGGTGAAGTTTACATATATTAAGTTGTTGGTCACATTATTTTTTATCGAAAAACAAAGAAACATCCATATCAGCCCGTCTTGGATACAGTGCAGTTAACGTTGTGTCCAAGAGGTAACGTCAGCTGACATGGAGGGTAAAAACGTAAAAACGGTAATGTGAGCGGTATGAAACATATATCCATAACTCTGCTGTAGTATGCTGACAGTAACAATACCTGTAGTATATTAAAGTAAAACTAACAAGAAACATCACTTTACTAACTTACCCTACAGTAGTGTTTCTTGGACAATACGAGAACAAAACACCTCCACAGCACCACAGCTCTGACTGGAACAAAACACGCCGTTTGTCTCCCTGAGGAGGAAAACATTCGATTTGACTTGGCGCTGTTGCACTCCAATTGGTCATTGTAGTATCGCGAGAAACAAAAATGAACCAATAGAATGTCTCCAAACTAGAAACGGGAGTTGAAGAAGACGAGCTTCATTCTGTCATCTGACAAGTTTTCATCCCTTCTGTTCAAACATTTGAACCCAAATAGGATTCCTGTAGTACTGGTCCATGCAAACAGCTACGCCCCAAAGCATTACAGCACAGAGACGGCCTTTGTAAATAAACACACAGCTATAACTTCCAGCAGGTGCTAATCATCAACAGGGACATAAAAGCAGTTATTTTCAATAACCACATAATTTACATCACGTTACTACAATAAAAATTAAATCTTGAGGGACGATATCAATACAATTAGAAAAATGCAAATACTTTGTTTTAATAATAATAACAATAATAATAAAAAATAATCATCATCATCTTCATACCAGTCATAATCATAATCATGGCATAACGTGAATATGTTTTGCAACATGCCACGGCATGTTTTCAACCTTTGCTTTGAAAAGAACGCGGAGGATTATGGGAATGAACCGAAGCGCGCGCTCCTTTGTTGCACGTTAAGATTTACAAAACTGTTTGAAGAAGCAAGCCAATTTGCCTTCAAAATAAAATCTAAATTAACATCACAAACTAAAAATATACGCTCTGTTGTTTGTCTTTGGCCTTTACGGATAAATGTACAAAACATATGAGGACAAATAAAACAGCAGGGATCCCCTGGTGTTGTGTGGTGGGCAGGGTATACTTTTAATGTTATGTTTAGGACTTTCTTTTTTGACAACCTAACATAGCCTAGTTGGCATAGTGTTATTGTAAGTGTGTGTATGAATAAGAAAATGTGATACGCGTTTTCATATTACACATTCTACAATTTACAATCTTACCTCAAACACATTCATGCACTTTAATTTGAAATCCAAAATCGGAAGTCATCCTCTTGTTTCAAGTGGCTTGATAGCTACCATTAGCAGTTGGCTATCCTCAGAAGGATCTCACAGCAAAATACAGGTGTATTATACACACGTATAATGCAGAATCACTGTGCGGTGCCGAACTGCACTAGTGGCATATCCGACCCTCAGCCACTCTTCAGGTTTCCTCATGATCCAGAAAGGTAACTAATGCTATCAGCGATGCTAAAGCAAACAGGAAGCTCTCTAGCTACCCAGTGAGAACAGTGTGTTATTTGTAGGTAAAGTAGCATGTGTGTTAAAACAAGGCTACGTTTGTTTTTACATGTCTTGTTGGTTCAGCAACATTTAATGTCTATCTTATCGTGCAGCACATCCTTTATTAAAGCTTTTACAAGTTCAAATCTATTTCGTTCTCGATACGCAAACTAAATTCAAAAGTTTGACAGGTTCACGTGTCTTTGCTCATTGTTAAACGTACACACACTGGCACATAAGATCTTGTGTTGAAATGCTGCAGCAAAGCCGGGGTAACTAAATAGAACATGTTGGTTAATTTTCTGAAGGACTATTTCCAACGTGCAGACCTGGTACAGTTTAATATTCCTGAAAAGACACGTCAATAACCACATGGTTAATCCTAATATAAACCCTGTGGTAAACTATCAGTGTATCTATCTCCCTACTTGGCTTTTGCATGACATGTTAGTGTATCATATTACTAAGCTAATATATCCATCATATCTTACATATTAATAACATTAAAAACATCCATGCTTGCTTAGATGCTTTTGAATTTTTTATTAATGTATTATTCACTATTACATTCTCAGTCATTGTTACAAATCACAAAATATTGGACAAATGTTCAGCATGTTGTTAATAGTTTGTCAAATTAATATAGCAACAAACTATAATTGACTATATAACCTGAATTTCTTTTGACTTTTAAACTTGTTGTTTTGGTTTGACCACTCCTCTCAGATCCAAGAAGTGGGTTGAAAAATGCCAGAGGAGGGACCTGATAGACAAATCACCAGACCAGCTGCACAGACACTACAGACTGTGTGGAAAGCATTTTGAATCATCTTTGATTGATAATGTAAGTTTTCAAATTGCACAAATTGCAGAGGCCAATGTGACGGAAGACATTGCAGTACTTTTAATCTAATTGCCAGTCTTTTTAATCAAAATGTGAGAATTCAGCCCTGCATATTATTTCACTAATTATTTAATAAATACTGTATGTTTTGTATTGCTTGGTGAATATTTAATGTAGATATTGAATACAAGTTTAATATAGTAATATTCTTGATTCGGTCTTGTATAATTATAATATGCAGTATAATTAACATTTTTTGCTTGACTTCGTTGGCAGGGTGCTCAGTGTACAGTGTTGAAAGATGATGCCATACCAACTATCTTTGACGTGCCAAGCCAACCTCAAAATGGACAGGTGAAGCGCAACAAAGAGACGGTGAGTGAAAAGAAGTAGTTTTAAATGGGGAAAAATAATTTGTATAATTTAATTTCTGCAGTTAACTTGTCTTGTCTTTTTATTTTTGAAGACCAAAGATGATGAAACAGAGAGTAAGGGGAGAAAAAGTAAGTAGAAATATCAATACACACATATTTATTTCTGACAAGGAAAATGAGTCCCACACCCACAATTGTCACAAGATGAATGAGTTAGTTTCTATCTTGCAACTGTTTCTGTTTCCCTCTTAGAAATGAAGAAGTCTCAAGACACAGACGCAGCTAAGGCAGATGTCCAGACAGATGAGGAAGAAGAATACAGAGAGTATCTCAAGTCTTTATTTGAAGTTCTTGTATTGTTGGGAGAGCAAAACATTCCTCCCACGGGGCCTGGTGATAGGAAAAAGGATGGTCTTAGGGAAAGCAACTTTCAGGCATTGTTAGATTATCGCATGAATTGTGGAAATGAAGTCCTGAAGAAGCGGTACGATGTGAATCAGGAGTGCTGCTCCTCAGTTCAGCTGAGTCAGCTGATTGAGGTGTGTGAGAAATGCATCCGCAGTAAGCTGGTGGAGGAAGTTAAACAAAATGGCTTCTTCTCATTACTTACTGATGATCTGGTGAAGATCTCCGGAGAATGGCACCTCCCTGTCTTTGTCCGTTTTGTGGACCAGTCTAACTGTCAGCAGGAGAGGTTTTGTGGATTCTTGAGCTTTGAAGGAGATGGAGATGCCCTGGCAGAGAAACTACTGTCTGAAATGACTGACGAATGGGGTTTGGATATGGAACAGTGTAGGGGTCAGGCCCACTCCTGCACTGGGACACATTTTAGTAAAATAAAAAAAATTTCTGCCAAACTGATTGAGAAGTATCCACTGGCAGTGGTTACTCTGAGATCTACTCGTACACTAAATGTATCATTGGCCAATGGTATGGTTTTGTCAGGGGTTCAGCTTGTCATGTCTACCTTTAAGAAGATTGAGTCCTTCTTCAGTCAGTCCAATTTACTGCAGTTGGAGTTGGGGCATGCTATTTTGATTTTCTACCCAGACAAAGAGGATAAAGCTAATGAACTGAAGGACATCTGTCATACCAGCTGGACCAGACGACATGATGCGTTTGATGTGGCAGTGGAAATCCTAGAGGCACTTCTACTTTGTGTGGACAGCGTGCATGACAATGAAGACATGCGGTGGAGTGATCAAGTCACACATGATGCCTTAGAGATTTCAAAAGCACTGGTTGATTTTGAGTTTGTCATGGCATTGGTCGTGCTGAAAAACGTGATGACACTTACTCGAGCATTCGGGAAGAACGTACAAGGGGAAGCACCAGATGCCCATTTTGCCGCAACCAGTTTAAAAGCTGTATTACACTCCCTGAAGGAAGTGTCTGACAACATTGATGTGTATCATGAGTTCTGGAACGATGAGGCTGTTAACCTAGCCACAGCAATGGAGATCCCAATAAAGGTTCCTCGGTCATTCTTGAGAAAGCATCACTCAGAATCTGGAACCATTCAACCAGATAGTTACTACAAGAACAACCTGTCTGTTCCTGTGGTGAACCACATCATTAACGAAATGAATGAGCTCTTCAGTGAGGACCACTTGAAGTCTCTGAGGTGTCTGTCACTGGTCCCTGCCGTCATAGAGCAGCATAAGTCTACTGAACCTGAAGAAGAGAGCATACAGGTGTTCAAAAATTACATCCCTAATGCAGGAACCCTCTCTGCCGAGCTACACTGTTGGTGGGTTAAATGGAGCAAAAAGGGCAAAGGGGAGACTTTTCCCTCCAATATCCATGAAACACTGCAGCAGGCCGATTTGAAGTTCTTCCCAAACATGCTTGCAGTCCTGAGACTGATCGGCATCCTGCCTACCTTGGCTCTGGAAGACAGCTGCAACGTGGCGTATAAGCGCTTCAAGATGTACATGGAGAACACGCCTGACAAATTCAAATCTAAAAGCCTTGCTCTTTTGAACATGAACTATGATGTTGGGTTCGATCTGGATTCAATGGTTGAGGTCTATATGAACACATACCCTGAAAGGGGGGAGGTTATGTGAGTCAAATCAGTTGTAATATGGCAGTTAAGCCTCCAGGCAGATTACCTACAGATTTGTTAATGAGTCGTGCAGATTGTGTTACCTTGATCTTGAGATAAACATCTGTTTATCTGTTGTCTGTTTTATTTCCTAGCTCTCATATTGGAAGTATTTTTTTCAATTTTTGTGATAAAATGTAGAATGTAAATGAACTAGCAACTGGACTGCAAAGTGTCATACAGACATCTCTGAATTTTGTTTTTGTTTGCCTTTATGCTGTTTTCATTCGTTGACTCCATTGTTAGAATCAGTTGCAAATGGCTGGTGTTTTAGAGTGTGTTAATACTTTTAAACTTTGTTAAACAGTTTTTTGTGTGTGTTTGTGTGTCACCCACAGACCTCCTGACATTTAATAAGTGGGTAAGGGGGGTGAGCCATAAAACCCTCCCTGAACATGTAAATAAAGATACCGTAAGCTCTTTGCTTTAATAACCTTTTGTGGTCCTCATTCTAAACTAACCTAATCCTAGCCATGCTCTGAAACAAGGTCTGTTAGAAACAAAAGTCAAAATGCTGATCCAGATTCTCTGGTGTTTTTTGAGACCGAATGGAATAAGTAGGATAAAATTAAAACAAATTTTGGAACAGGGACCACTGGGCACAAACAGGACAGTGCCTAAAATATATGTAATAGTGATGTGTCCTTAAAATTAGTCACCATGTTGAGTTCTGTTTGAGTTGTTTTCAGGTCCATGGTGAAGTGGAGACCAGGACAAAGTAATGCGAGGCTTTAAGTCTTCTCCTGTGAATAAAAGGCCCTTAATTTTTAAACAATGTCCTGTCCAGTATCACAATGGATCTTGCTCTTTGGTACTATGTCTACAAATGGAGTATATGCTTGTTCCCAAAACAGCTGAGTCACTGTCTGCCCTGAGAGTCAAATCGCCAATATAGCGTCTTGTTTAAATGATTGAAAACTTAAATATAAAAATATTTGGTCTATGTATAATTTTAACTGCAGTGAACAAAGAACAAATATGCCTTTTCGGTCCACTGTGCTCCACCATATATATTAAATTCAGAGTTAAAAAAAAAACACACCAGTTGACACAGTATGGGCCGCTTTATGGTTTGGCAGAACTAGGCCTAGTCTGTAAAAACGTGTTGTCTAACCACGTCTGAAATCAAAAGTATTTGTAATTGGTCTGAAAGACCACGTTGGAGGACTTGGGCTACTTCCCTGCTTTGTTCGGTTAAACTGGAATAGGATGGAAGTTATCTTGACAGTGAAACTCTTTGGCCGGGCCTGGCGGGGCCACTCTGCCCTCTGCTGAGTAACATGTTGTACTGCACGGTGTAGTTCCTGTTTGGTGGGATAACACGCTTTCGGCGACTCTTGGCTCACCACGCAACATCAACTTTTGAAAGCATGGAATTAGTAGGTTCTTAGTTTGCCAAAGAGACATTAAGCTAAAACAACACTGAAACTCAACTGTGTCGGTTGCAGGTTGTGCCCAAGGCATGACTCTGTAGACTCTCCTGCAGGTTTGCTCATAGTAGGCTTGCCAGCTTGCAACCGCCAGCTAAGCTAGCTAACTTACCAGCTAGCTACATTGCAGTCCAAAATGACTGACTGCTGCGCCGCGGCGAGCTGTGATTACCAGCAAGGGGAATCAACCACTACACTTTTCAGCTTCCCCGTGGATCCGGAGCGGTAAGACATATACTTAATTCATTGAGCCGTGGGTTAGAAATGAGCCCTGAGCATGCACAATGAATGTGTCAGCTATCCACAGTTAGCACTGGCGTTAGCCTAACATCATGTTGGCTAACAGTGACACAAGTCTGTCGAAAATGGCGCAGACTAGTTACTCTTGAAAGAAAAAATCGTGTGAAATAGGCTCCGTTCACTGATTTAGGCTCAGAGACCGACAGTGACTTGTGATATTGGCTCCATCAGTTTATCTTTGTGTTCAGTCATTCCACAAACCCAAGAGAAACCATACTTAAAAACTTTTTTGTGCTGTAATTTAAATCGCCATCGGTACACGACACCTACCGTCTCAGTAGTGTGTAACGTTAAGGACTGACGTTAGCTCAGGAAAATTGAAAATCCACCTATTGATAATGCTATTTTCTTGTGGCTGTAGCTCACTAAACAGCGTAAATCACACAGTCATTTTTACAGTGCAGCTCATTGTGAACAATATAAACTGAAACTTATATTTACGTCGATTTAAAAGGTGATACCCGTATGAATAAAGAGCAGTCTAGCGCCTCCCTTTATCCTGTTGCTGCTTCATATATGGCGCTGTTTTTTCACTCTGAGATCCCGGCCGCATTACATAACTATAGGCATGTTATCTTGCTTAAAAATCAATTGAGTAGAATTAATTTTAGAACTGTAATTTCATGGCAGCTGCAGTTCAGCTGGCTGAATCACAGCACTGTGTCTGTGCACAGGAAATGTAACCTCCAAGCCAGAGGAAAGACTACCTCCGAATACATCACGGGGTCTCAATAAATTGAATGCCCAGCCCTGCAATGAGTTTGTGTTTTTTTCTTCCCGTCCCTTTGCCGTGTGATTGTTTTAAAACTGGTACCCACCTAATAATGTGTTAGATTTACGGAATTAAATTTCATTTTCTTTTGGGCATTTCTATCCACCCTTATTCTCTGTATGCATCAATTAAATAAGTTGACAGGAGAGGGATATATATATATATATATATAAGAAAAATAAAAGACAGAATACAAACGAAGAGCAGATATAAAGTGGTGAAGGCTTTAGTCACAACTTAATTCTTTCTTTTATATCATCGTTAACACTGAGGCAGGGTTACAAATGCAGATAACCAAAGCAGTTTCAGTCAGGTGTATCAGCCGAATCCAGGTAATTGTTCCAGACTTGACCTCTTAAAACCAAACACATAATCTAACAAACCGTTATCTTTGTCTATCTTTGTCTTGTCTTTGTTATCTTTGCATTCTGTCAGTGATGAAGTCATTTAATGTAACTGGCATTTCAAAAGTTGTCAGTGGCTGACTGAAACAGTTGGCATCTACAATGGTTTGGACCAATGTTATATTAAAGTGATTATCTATTGTATAAGAACAACAGTCAGTTTTTCACCCAGTGAGTATGTTGAACATGTTGAGATAAGAAAAGCAGGTCACCTTTTTAAATAATTATTGAATAAACATTGTTGCTATGCTTCTTGATGCAACTATTGTGCCTCCAGTGTGTCATAACCTAATTAACCTGCTTAAGAAAATAGCCTAGCTCAAGCAGCCCTGCCAGTTGCTGCAGTCTATATTAATGTAAAGTGTCACCATGCTCATTGTCAAATGGGTGCATCACAGTGAACAGCATTCAAAGTGGAGCAGACTGTTTTCACCTCAGAAATAATTGGGAGTTCTCCAACCTTTCAGAGCTCTTATGGATTTTTGTCAAGTCATTATTTAATTTATTTAGAGAACAGAAAATAATGTGCACAAGTGTTTTGGCAAATGCCTATTTTAATCAAGTTTATGGTTTTGAACCCAACCATTTATGCCCCCCCCCTCTCTATTTTTCAGCTGTAAACAATGGCTGAACAACTGTCGTCGCCAAGATTTGTCATCAGAGCCTCCTGAGCAGTTGCATAAGCTGTACAGACTTTGTGCAAAGCACTTTGAGCCCTCTATGATCTCTCATCAGGTAAGATGCAGATTTATTGCTCATTACCCTTTTGTGTGTTAGACAAGAGGAGGAGTTGCCATTTTGTTCCCTGTTTTGTTAATACAGAATTACCAGTTTATTAGCTATACCTGAAAAACAGTCTAATGCAATTCAATCCAAAAGCTCAAATATAATCTCCATATCTTTGTGAAACTTGCAAAGTTAAAAAAAAAAAAGAGATGTTTGTAATGTTCCTTATTCACTTACATGTAAGTGATACATATGTGCAATCAATCAATGGAGTGTAATCCATTGATTGAAACTATAGCCTCAAAAAATCCCACAGAATTGTATCAACATCACTTTGATAGTGTCAACAAAAACTGAACATTAAACTGGTTTCAGGAAATATTTAGATCCCTTCACTTTTATACATTTAATTTTAAATGGATAAAACTGCCTTTTTTGCCCATCATACTACAGTTAGTAACCCATAATAACACAGTGAAAATACATTTTTTAAATTTATTAAATTATTATCATTATCAAAAAATTACATTACAATTTAATTAGTATTTAGACCCTATGCTGTGGCTTCCTTGAGATGTGTCTACAACTTGACTAGAGTTCAGTGACGAGTCAAAAACTGAAACCTTTGGGCAGAACTCCAAACACTACATCTGGTGAACACCAGGAACTGCTCATCACCTAGCTAATACAATCCCTGAGGTGAAGCATGGTGGTGGAGGCATCATGCTGTGGAGGGGCTTCTTAGTGGCAGGAACAGGAAGGTCAGAATCTAGGGAAATGAAAAATCAAAATTAAATCTACAACAACAAACAACAAAGTGTGCAAAAAGTGGATGGGTCTGAATACTTTCTGAAGCCACTATAAGCTACCCGTGTACCAAAAGACATGGAATTAGGGAAAATAAATATTGAGAATTAAATTACAACACTAAAATGCAGCATGGAAGAGACTGCTTAATAAGCGTTGACCAGATAACATTGATACTGTCAGGCAACAACAGTTTTTGTTGCTCAGTGACATCGTGTTTTGATTTGTTGGATAATACCAAGGTTCTTTGTAAACAACAAAATCTTTGGTTACTTTTTAGTGACCTTTATCAGGCTTTGTGTTGATCAGAAGTTAGGGTAAAAAAAAAAAATTCTAATCAATTATCAAAGTCTTTTATAATCATTAGTTAAAACATACTTATAGTTGTATATATTTATTTTAATATCATATGTTGTCAACTTGAATTTTAGAGGTGTAGCATAAAAGTGTTACCGCCTTTTTTGTTTCTGTTTTTTTCTTCCTAGAGTGCCTCCAGTTGTGTCTTAAAGGAAGATGCTGTTCCAACAATATTTGACTTTACAACTCCTGCGAATAACCAATCAACCTGCAACAGGAAACGAGCTAGAGATCCTGTAAGTGTGTAAATGTTTAAAATGACTGCGTTTTTAAATGATTGCAAATAACTTTCATCAGACATGAAAAATGCAAACATGTAATTATCCTTTTAATCTTCCTAGTCGGAAGAGGAACCTACTTCTGTAAAGAAAACAAAAGGTACAGTAATGCTTGAAAAAGTCCTTATTAGTTGTTGAATTTTAGTCTGTTAAAATGTATTTGCCCAAGTTGTAAATATTGATTCACTGATTGAATTTGCAATTTTTAAAAATCATCTCCCCCTTTTTATTGAGTTTTTTCTCTTTCCTATCAGAAAACACAGCAACAGCAGATGTGACTGAGGAGACAAAAGAATTGTCTGGAGAGAACAGTGCAATGCCTGAACTGCTGACAGAGGGCCTAACACAAGAGGACGTGGCCAGCTCCAAAGCAAAAGAGACTCTGAAAGTATATTTTAAAGAAATCCTGGCACTGACTGGATTCAGCATCAATGGTGCAAACATCAACACTGATGAGCCGATTGGAGGCACTAGGGGTCAGCAAGCTCTCAATCGTATCTGTGTGGAAAAAATTGACAAGAAAGAAATCCTCCAGTTCAGTGAAGACCTCATGCGAGAGGAGATCCAGAACAGCCTCAGACTGGCACGATTCTTCTCCATTCTGCTTCAAGATGTGACTAGCATAGAGGGAAAAGATCAGATCCCAGTTTTCATTAGGTCTGTGACAGTAGCTGGGTTCCCTCAAAAGCACCTCATTGGGTTCCTGCCATGCGACATGGATGCAGAGAATCTGTTTTACATGCTTCTGTCTGAGTTGAGAAACAAGTGGGGGCTGAGGATGGAGCACTGCAGAGGACTCACTTATCTGGTTACAGGCAGTATGTGTCAGAAAATGCGAGACCTTACCTGCAGGATTCTGCAGGAGTTTCCACAAGTAGTCCTGTCACCAAGTGACCCATATGCCTTCAACATATGGATCATTCGCTGCATGCCTGTGTCCTCCATCCAGAAGGTTGCAGACGCTGTAGAGGAGGTGGCCTCGTTACTCAGGAGAACACCAGAGCTGTCCAAAAGATTGGAGGGAAAGATCCAGATGACATATGGGCATGTAAAAGGGGAAGTGGAGAGGATCAAAGCAGCTGTTAGTGGGAACTGGGAATATAGCACTGATGCCTTCCAGACTATGTTAGATATTCTGGAGCCATTCCTGAACTGCATCAATGAGATGATTTCAAAGGTAGATGAAGACACTGCTGAACAGATGGCCAAGCTCAAGCCAGTTTTGAAGAATTTCAACTTCATCATCACACTTGTTGTTCTGAAGAACACTCTCTGTTGTGTGAGCATACTCAACTCAAGTCTCAGGGGAATAATTAGCATCAGCAGTACCTTGCAGTACACAATTTCAAATGCCTTAAAGCTGGTAAACAAATATCAACAGGAGCTTGCAATATTCCACAGGAAATGGTTTTCAGATGCAGTTGGCCGAGCCAAGAAGCTGGGAGTGGAGGTTACTAAACCAGAGATAGACCAAGAAGAAACAACTGAAACACCACTGGAGGACTTTTACAGAGAAACTCTGAGCCGGCCTGTCTTGCAGTATCTTGTTGCAGAGGTGAAGAGAGTGTTCAGCACTGAAATGGTGAGGATTCTCCGATGGCTCTCGTTAGTTCCATCTTACATGGCTGACCACAATTTCAGCATTCGCAGGGATAAAGTAGCAGACGCCAACTTGAACAACCTTGCAAGGCCTGACACATTCTACGAAGAGCTTGGTTGCTGGGAAGTGAAATGGAGGCATGCAAGCAAGCGCAGAATCCTACCAACGACAGTGTTCGCTACACTCAAGATTCCAGATATTGGGTTTTACCCGAATGTGCAGAGCTTGCTGAGGGTGTTGGGCACTGTTCCGTGTGTGAATGCGGAGGCTGATGTGTATGGACAATACCATATGGTACTGGAGCGGTGCCACTCCTACCTGAGAGCTACACCAGAGGACCAAAGACAGTGCAGCATGGCATATGTCTATGTGAACCAAGATGTGCACTTCAACGTTGAACAAATGGTGGATTCATACGTCCAAAAGCATCCAGACATCCTGCAGTTGCTGCAAGTGGTGCGTAGATTTCCATAAGCAGAATTTCATTGAAATTTCATAGCTTACTTAAGTGATAAAGCAACTCTTCTACTTGAAAGTACGTTATTTAGTGTGTGTGTGTGTGTGTGTGTGTGTGTTTGTGTTTGTTTTACAGGATGATGACACAAAAGAGAAGACTCCCAAAGGTGAGATATTTTTTAAATTGTTGATTGACCATATCAACAGGCTGTTCTGTCAGAAATCCAAAATATACAATTTTAGGCAGTGTTGTGAAAATACAGCTTCATACAAAAAGATGGAAAAGTTACAGAATAATGGCTACAGTATATTTTAAGGAAATTGAAAGCTGTGTAAGTTTTGGAATTAAATGTGTTGGCGATATCTTGAACAAGTTGAATAGTATTTTTGTTCTGCAATCTTCAATGCACTTTTTTTGCTTATTTACCAGTCTCTCCCCTAGTAACTAACATGATGAAGTAAAATCTGCTTACACAACCATTCCCATTTTTCATTTCAGTGGCAGGCCATGGAAACCATGCTGAGAAGGACACTGAAGAGGAATTACAACTCATAAACTTAGAGATGGATGCTGAAAGGCTTGTGGAGATGAAGTGTGCAGAGACTGACAGAGAAGCTCTTAAATCAGCTTTACAGGCTGCAGTGACAGCCGCATACAGCAGTCAAAGCAGACTACATAGTGACACTTCTGCTCAGGATGGAGAGGTTGAGTATGTGACCAAGTCTGAAATGAAAGAAGTTCTCACTGTGTGCGAGAATGCTGTCAGGGAGGGAATCCTCACAGAAGTGGGAACTTCATTCTTTTCCTTGTTCATCGACCGTGTTGTGCAACTGGGGGAGAAAGACTATCTTCCACTTTTCCTTAGGTTTGTGGACAGTTTTGATGTCATGCGGCTGGAGTTGATGGGATTCCTTGAGGCAGATCTTGATTGTGATGCCATGGTACAGCGTCTCCTGGAAATAGTTACCGTTGAGTGGCGTCTTGATTTGAACAACTGCAGAGGTCAAGCATATCTAGGCTCTGGTGACGTGTCCTACAAGCTGAAAGCTTTTGCCTGCAAAGTTCAGGAGAAACATCCTCTTGCTATAAGCACACACTGCTCTTCCTACTCTTTCAACACATGGTGGTCAAAATCCATCCCAGTGCCTGCTGTTAAAAGAGCTCTGGATACATTTGAAGAGGTTTTGATGTTTTTTGGGAGCAGTGTTACTTTAGAAAAACAACTCGACCATGTTATAGCCTTTGGTCTTAGAGAGAGCTATGAAAAGGTCCAAGAGTTACAAGGGAAGTTCTGTGCCCTGTGGCAAGAGAAGCATGACTCTTATGAGGTTTTTGTGCAGATGCTGGAGCCCCTGGTCGAATGTCTGGAGAAAATCAAAAACAACCCACAGAGATGGAAAGCCTTTGTGTCTGAACAAGCCGGGGCACTTCTCTGCAAGGTCATGGAATTTGATTTCATCATTGCCATGGTCATCTTAAAGAACGCATCCTCTTTTACCAGAGAGCTGAGTGCAGGTCTCCAGAAGGACCACTTCAGTGCCGCATCCCAGCTTTGCCAAATCAGTGGTATTGTGGCCACTCTGAACCGAGTAAAGACGAATATGAAGGTGTTTCACCAGAACTGGTTTGATGAGGCTTGTGCAATTGCACAGAGTCTAAGAGTGCAGATTGAAGTGCCTGAAAACTCTGTGCAAAGGGACAGCATGATGAAGCCCGTTGGGTTTTACAAAGATGGCTTAAGCGTGCCCCTAGTAGATAACCTTATCAATGCAGTGAAGGATCATTTTTCAGAAGACCACAAAGAAGCTCTCAACTTCCTTTCTCTGGTTCCATGCTCAGTCACAGTGAGTTACATGTTTGAGAGCTTGAAGTCAAAGCCTCCTCTCTATAGCAGTGATCTTCCCGATGCTGACAACTTCTTCACAGAGCTGTGCTGTTGGAGAGTAACCTGGAAGACCAAAGTGGCATCCGTGACCATCCCAAACTCCATATTTCACACACTACGTCTGCCACTCATGCAGTACTTTGGAAACATCAATGCACTGCTGAGGATTATGTCTGTGCTTCCCAGCACAGCACTGGAGGACTGTGGTGTTGTAATGCGCCACAAGAAGTTTCAAGAGTACCTGAGAAATACAAATCCTAAAGACAGGTCCTCGTGCTTGGCTATGCTGCAGGTGGGCACGGACTTCAGCAGAGACCTGGACCGTATGGTGACCCAGTGTTTGAAGGTTACACCGCAAGCCTTGGAGGGTATCTGCCTGGTACGTACTTTTATTCTTTAATAATAAAAAAAGACAGTGTTACATTTCTTGTTTATTTTTGTTGTTTTATTCTCCATATTTTATTAATTATATGAATGTCAGACTCATTTTTATTTACCTGGGTATATTCACAGGACAAGGAATCCAAAAGTTTCATCAGGAACTCTGAAAATAATATGGAAGGTATGGTTGTTGAGATATTTTATTTTTATTATTTTATTACATATTTAATAGCAATTCCTAGTAATAAGAGCACATTACCTAACTAATGATAACAAGTTATTAAAAGTTGTTTTGTTTTTTTTTTGTTTAGTTATTTTCAGTGTTTACCATAACCGCCATGTTATTTTCTATGCTGTTCTCCCTGATACATTTAGTTGATTCTATCAAGGAGGAAGCTGAGGAGCTCAAAATTGAACAATCTCCTGACAAGATTGAGGACCATGACATGAAACCAGCAGAGGAGAATGGGCACGCAGGAGATAATCGGCAAAGTTTGGTGACAGTATTCAGACTAGCTGCACTACTGGGGAAAAAGAATAGCAGTCTCTCTGACCTCTCAGAAGATGACAGAGAGCATTTCATCCAGGAGCTCAGCATGTGCCACTGGTTTGGAAGGGAGAACAAATGCGCACCTTCTCTAGGTGATGATGAAATGGTGAACCTCCTCATAGATGGAATCAGAGATGTCATACTCAAGGAAATACAGGAATCTCCATTCTTCTCACTGATCACAGACAAACCTGTGAAAATTGCCGACAAGACACACCTACCTGTGTTTGTCAGGTATGTCGGAGAGTCTGCCCCAAAAGTTGAGCTCATGGGTTTCTTACCATTTGATGAAAACTGTCATGTTGATACACAAGCGAATAACCTTGCAAAGATTCTCACTGAAGACTGGGGCTTACCAATGTCTCACTGCCGAGGACAAGCATTCATGCACTTGGGCTCAGGTTACCAAAGCCTGAAGAAAATGTCTTTGGATTTCCTCAAGAGTTATCCACTCTCTGTTGTAACACCAAGTGAGTCTTGTGGCCTTGCCCATTGGCTGGCAGGAAGTGTGCCTTGCCCTTCAGTAGCAAAAATGTTGGATATCACAGAGGACTTGCTGCTGTTCTTTGATGAATCTCCTTGTCTAGAGGGACAGTTGGCACAGGCTGTTGATGGGCTTTTAAATATGCCAAGAGAGGCCCTGGAGGAAATTCCAGAAACATGTTGCTCAAGGTGGAAAAAGAGAGAGGACTTCTTTGACATACTTGCTGACACATTGGAGGGTATTCTCAGCTGCCTGGATGCTGTTAGCTCTAGTGCGACAGGTGCCAAGTCAATGCATGCACAAGTTCTCTCTACTGCTCTGAGAAATATGGATTTCATTGTCACCCTTGTGATTTTGAAGAATGCTTGTGCTCCCCTTCGTAACTGTAGCACTGTCTTCCGCTGTGGAAACCCTGCTGATATTCTCTGTGAAGTGGAAAAAATCCCCTCAATCATAGAGACTCTCAACAAAATGTTAGAAAATGTGAGCACACTGCACTCATCTTGGTTTGAACAGGCCTTTCAGCTAGCAACCAAGGTAGCTCCAGAACAAGTATGCTTTTCAGAGGAAGCCAACAGCTATGAATCTCCTGAGTTATACTACAGAGAAAATCTGAGTGTCCCTCTCCTCAGAAGTCTCATTGATGAGATGAAGTACAGCTTCTCAGACAGCCACTTAAAAGCCCTGTCGGTCCTGTCATTGCTTCCCTCCTGCAATCCACAGCCTATTTTGTCGGAGTCCACGGACAAGCCATTCGGCCTCTACCTTACAGACCTTCCTGAGCCGGAAGCAGCCGAGCAGGAAATCAGTGCCTGGGCCACAGTCTGGAGAGAGAAGTACCAGGATGGTGCTCCTCCAACATCCATTGCTGAGACACTTGTCCATCCTGAGTCAAAGAGCCACCCAGCTGTTACCTTACTGCTTAGGCTAGTAGCTGTCCTGCCGAGTGTCAGTATGGAGTTTGATCTGATGAAAACCACGCTGAATTCCATGAGGGATCTGTTAAAAAACACTCTATGCAAAGGCAGTAGAACGGATCACGTGTTGCTCCACTCTCACAGCTCAACACTGCAGAGATTACCAGAGGTCATTGAACGGTGTATGGAGGTGGATCCAGAGAGCAACCCATGTCTATCCCAGGTAAAGTAAAAATGGTTGGATCATGATGATTGTGAGTTTCCCAAGCAAAGATTTACAGCTTTCCAAATGTAAATATTTCTGAGTTTGCTTAATCTTCTATGATGAACTGAATGTCTTTGGGTTTTGGATAGTTGGTCAGACAAAACAAGTCATTTGAAGTCTTCACCTCGAAGTCTGGGAACTTTTAACATGCATTTTTCTGACATTTTAGACACCAGACAAAAATGGTTAATCAAGAAAATAGAAATAACTTAATTAATTGATGAAATCTTTTTACAGCAATTCTAATCAGCATTACATAACCAAAATTGTTCTGCATATTTTTTAGGTGATGGGAACTTTGCAACGACTAAAGCTGGACAGTGGTAAGTGCATTCATGGCAACTACATGATTAAGACATCACTGTGAATAGTTCTGACTGTAGGAACACAATAAGCAGTAAATAAGCAAAAAGTTTGTTTTATATGAAGGTCTTTGTGTGTCATTGACATGTTTTTATTTTTATTTTTGAAATCAGGAGCCATTGAAGTAAAACCAGGGGCACCAACAGAATTGCAAGCCTCCAGTGTAGCAGAGAATCCTGCTGATGGAGAGGTGAATTTGGCTCATAATGAAGTGATACTGGAGGTTGCTCAAGGACCAAGAAAAGCAGTATCTTTCTATGAACCACAACTACGTGAACAAATCCTCAAGGAACTCTGGGACTCTCAGTTCTTCACAGTTATAACTGAGCAAGCTGTTGAAATTGATGGTGAGCTCTATGTCCCCTTGTGCATCAGGTACCTAAATAAAGAGGACATCCAGTGTGAGGAAACACTGGCTTTTATCCCTTACTGTGAAGACCCAGTTGTCCTTGCAGATGCTATTGAGACTGCCCTTTCTGAGAAATGGGGGCTTAACATGGAGTACTGTAGAGGTCAGGCCTTGCTGAGTGTTGGTGAAGTAGGAGCTCAGATGAGGGTTGTAAGTTTAGCAGTAGCTAAAAAATACCCCCAGGCTGTAAGAACTGTCAGCTCTGCTTTGTCTATTAATGTATGGCTGGCCAAATCTTCTCCTGCTGAAGAAGCAGCTGATGGAGCAGTTCTCATAGGCAAAATATTACATTGGCTCACAGAGGATGCAGAACGGCAGAACAAACTGGAAGACATGATCATTCACGTGTTCCAGCATGATGAAGGAAAAGGTAACGAGCTGAGGGACAAACTCATCAAGAACTGGGAGAAGAGTCATGACATGCATGAAGTGATGGTTGAGATTTTAGAAGCAGTCATGCTATGCTTGAATGAGCTGAAAGGGGAGGGAAGTATTTCAAACCAGCAGCAAGCATCACAGTTCTTCAATGCAATCAGAAACTTTGAGTTCATCCTATCAACTGTTGTGCAGAAAAACGTCTTGAGTGTGACTAAAAAGCTAAGCCAGTCTCTTCAGGGCAAACCCTTAGATATGTTGCTTGCTGTGAATAATTTGCCCGATCTCAAAGCGTCCCTCAGTAAACTGAAGAGTGAAATTGACACCCATCACAAGGCCTGGTTTGAGGAAGCTGTTGCATTGGCTTCTAAACTCCATGTCACAATGTTGCATTCGGTGCTTCAAGAGCCATTGAGTGAGTTTTACAAAGAATCAGTGAGCATGAAGGTTGTAGAGCACTCAATTGCAGAGATTGATGACCTCTTCACAGAAAAGGTATTGGATACTTTAAAGTGTCTGGAGATTGTGCCTTACGCAATGTCCAAAGTAGAAACCAGCATTCTTAGTGGTCTTGTGTTCCGCCTGTACAAGGAGGACTTGCCAGATCAGGTCTCCCTTCACTCTGAGATGAAGTCATGGAAGGAGAAATGGTTGGATCCCCTAGCCGGCTATCTCCCAACTACTGTGCTCGATACCCTCAAGACGTCACAGATAAGAAGTTTTAGTAACATTGAGACTCTCCTCAGACTGCAGGTCATCTTGCCTTTTTCAAGGAGGGAGAGCAACTTCAGGCAAGGAAAAAGAAGCTTACAGGAGTTCATACAGCAGAAAAAGAGATCCCTCACTGAGCTCCATCCTCTGTAAGAGCCACAGGTCTTCCGTCACGGTTAGCAGATTTGAGTAATGCGTTTGAGATGTCACCGCCACCATATTTAAGAACTATTGTGTCTCAGCCCCAATTGAGCCTGAGCTCAATATTTCTGTGTACATTATTGATCTAAATTCTTTGAAATTTCCTTTTGTTGTTTTCCTGCAAACCAGGCCCTATGTTATGTTTTTTTTTATTCTGTAGTTTGTACAGTTGTACTGCCCAATGGGACCAATATCTTGGCAAGAAAAGCAATGCTCCACTGATGGTTATCAATGCGTGTGCCTTGATGCAAAACTAATAATTCTCCCCATGTATTATGATAATACAAATGTTTAAAAATGTCCCATTGGCCTGTGAAACAACTCTATTTTTATCATTACCAAAAATGACCAGACTGACTTCTGTATCACTGTCATGAATTCATTATAATTATTAAATTGCACCCTTACCTTTCCTGGGCACAAATAGAAATAGGTAGTTCCATCATGTCTTCTGATGATTTCCCATGTTTCCTGTCTGTTTGCAGGAATGAATTTGCTGTAAACGTATCTTTGAAAGAATGTTTCCTTAATAGGAAAACCTTCATATATATATTTGTCAGAAAAGTAATAAAATGCTCCAAAAATATGTTTTTGGCTTTTGAGTTTCTCTCTTTTTTCAAGCTAGATGTACAGTGTTGTGAGCTTTACGAGTTGTCAAGTCTAGTCACGTCTGCAAGTTAACACAAGATGGCGCAGTGAGGCTGTAATTTTCTTTAAGAGGAAAAAACTGAATCTGATAACAAGTGGGACTTTAAAAGGGTAAGTATACCTGTAAGGTTTTTAACTAAAAGTAATTTTCAATAGTGAATCGTAATACCTGTAGGGATGGTACTTCCTGTTAACCTTGGTCAGGTCCAGCAGGGCAGAATGAGGTCCTGCAAGTTGGCTGCTACGAGCTACTAGAACTATTCTCTAAATACACTTTACACTCTTACTGATATTACCATGCTGGTAAATGAAAATGCACAGCTACAAATGGCCTGTTTGAATTATTTATTTTTATTTTTTTGGAGAAGTAAAGCAAGACTTTCCCATTCACAGTCACTGTGATATCGATATGCCTGATTTTAATTCTAAAGGCATGTGAATTTGCAAAACAGGCTCCCGCTGTTAATGATTGCTGACTGAATACAGGCAATCCACCCTCTAGTTCAGGTCATGATGCATTGAATAAAAATTCCCTAGATGATTCACTTACTGATCAACAAGGATGTGGGTTTAGAAGGAGGGTTATTAAGGTCATACAATCACTACACTATCTGTAGATACCTGATAAATATTATTTACAATTATTTTCTGCCCTCATCGTGCATAGCCACTAGAATGTTGGGTATGTGAGGTTTGACCAGTTTGACCAGTATTTGCCAGTAATGCAAATCGTCGCTTTGGGGCTCCTTTGTTACAATTGTGGTTTAGTTAATATGTAATTTATAGGAACAAGTGTATTCTGTGTGCCTTTCTTGTCAATTATTTGCTATGAATTTCAATCAGGTGAATAAGCCTTTACAAGGAATTTCAATAACACAGCTTCTGCAGTGACAATTAAAAAAGCTATTATCATTTACGGCTTTAAGGCTTATATTTGTTTTATATAATTGTTAACCACTGACAACATCAGTGCAGATTTTATACTAAATTTAAAACCTGTAATAAATTGTTTAAAAGGCTATTCACTGCACTGTGTTTGAATGTCTTCTGGTTTATTATCAGTTGTTAGAAGCCAAGTGGTTAAAACAAATCTGAATGTTACTGAAGCTGTACTGGGCGTATTTGTATCACATAAAAACTGAATTAACTGAGTTAAACAAAAACTAAATTGTAGTTTTGGACTAAGTGGATCTGTTTGCCCCTGGAAACTCCTGAAAAGAAGGACTATTTGCCACTGTTAAAATCCTACCACTTACATGCATTTTGTGTTTGTTGACATGAAGCCACTCGATCTTTTACACTGATAACCCCAGTGAGAGCACTTTTTAAAGAGACATGTATTCTTCCTGTGAGCTGTAACAGCAGATGCCTCCCTGACAAAGCCCTGATTGTCGGTGCTCAGCTCACTGTGAAAGGAGCATCTCCGTGTCCCCGCTCAGCTGCTGAGCAAACGGATCTGTCTCCGCTGTGGGCCGCAGCAGTGTTCACATGCAGGCCTCAGCACACCAGCATCGTCTCATAATAACCCCATGTCTACACTCTCTGCCAAGAGTAATACTCCTACAAGCTGTGTTTTATTTATTTACTCTTTGGATGTAGACGCGAACAGTTACAAGTTTAAATCTCAGGTGCAGCCTGTGTGTTTGAGCATGAAGAACACATCCTCCATCTTTAAGCAAAACAAGGTATAGGCATAATTGACCCGTGCACCAGGCTTCCTGCTGGAAGTCAAGGTTCTGCACTGATGTAAAACCTGTGGCACTCTGTAATCATGTCCATACACAGCCAGGATTTAACTACACTCTGGCCGGGAAGACAGAGGGCTTAAGTGGATTTTATTTCAAGGTTCCCTTTCAGGGAAAATTGGCAGCACAGGCCTGAATTCAGATCCTCTTAGTACTATGAGCAAAACTTTTGGTTTGAATTATTTGGATGTCATCTTGTTGATTTTACCCTTAAAAAACACTTCATTTTTACTCGCCATAGTAAAGCTAAACAATTTTGAACTGAGCGGTATATGATGGACTGTCTTTGGTGAGTGTGTTTAACCAGGACTGAGGTGTTTAAGAGGTTCATCCAATCATGACGCAGAGGATAAATTTAATTTATGATCACTCACAAACTTAACTTGATTGCCAGTGCTCAGCTTTTGGACATGTGAAAAACCATCCATTTATTTGGTCCTGGAACACTTTCTCTCAGCAATAGGCATGTCCATGGAATTCCAAATACTTTTATAATCCTTAAAGAAGTAAGCTTTAATCATTTATAAGGATGCTCTGTGTTCTCACGCCTCTGCCAACCAAAATCTAAAGGGCTGAATTCATAAGAACCAGATGTATCTGCACAATTTGTCTATTGTAGTGTTTAGAGGCCTGCAGCTGGGCTGGTGCCTGTCCTTGTTGTGTTTACCAGGAGGAGCGGTTGGAGAAATGTCTGTAAATGAATGGAGCGCCATAGACTCTGTTCACCCCACCACTTCTGCCCCTCAACCCCCCCCCCCCACTCCTCTTCAGCAGCACCTCTTTAGACACAGTGATATAGCTTCATATGGTGAGACAATGCTGTCGTGCTTGATGCTGGAAGAAACGTCTTTTTTTCCAAAAAGGAAATCCACCCAAAAATAGAATTCACCTTTGTCCGTTTTTAAGTGATAAATAACTCAGTCTTGGATGGACTGAAAAGTAAAGAGACAGACTGTAGTGATGATGTCATGAGACAAATCCTGCAGCTGCTGCACGGACAGGAAATAATGGAACAAATCTCAAGATGTTTTAGTGGATTATAGACACATTTTCTAGTTCACAAGTGTAAGTTCTGCTCTACATCAAATATAATTTTCGTAAATGACAACGAGAGGGACACAATTCAACTTCTCCATTAATTCAGTCACAAATTCTGTGTCAATGAAACAAATCTATCATCAGTTTATGTCTCCAGCTTCTAATTTCCATTTTGGTGACAGTAGTCTGTGTAAAAATGTCATAATCACTGGAGTAGAAAATGTATTTAAAAGTCTGTTTTAGGGTGGTTTTTCTTTTTAAGTTGTTGGAGCTCATTTGCATGCAGTGAATGGACTTGTTTAACTCAGATTTATGATGCTCTTGTGATATGACAGGACTGTAATGTGCTAAAGTAGTTGCATTACTGGAATCCATCCCTCTCTTGGCTGGTTGATCCGTGATGCAGGCAGCTTCCATACGCTCAGCTCAAACCAGAGCAACCATGCTGATTTGGTTTTTCGAGAATGATCCTCCAGTGCTGCGGAACTCCCTGGCAGGGCATTTGCAGCAGGCTTCACGAACACACCGCTCATGGTGTAGGCTCCTGGAGGACCACATGACGTGTTCAAAAGTGCCACCCATCTGTCACTTGAAAGAGCTCTGTCCTCAAAGCACAATAGAGACAGAGGTTATAAACAAATGGTACACAAAAGATGTGGGTCCGGTCAGACAGATTGGACGGAGCTTGTTGTTTCTGTGTTGATCCCCACTGTGAGCTACGGCAGCCTTCACAGGAGGGACACCAGAGGCTGATGGGATTTTCACATGGCTGCTCTGAAGCTGTCATTGTCCCTCCAATCTGACGGCTGTTACTCTTTCAGAATACCGTTTATTATGATGAACATGATGTTCTTGTTATTTGTCAATAATCAGCTGGCAGCGCTGTTCAGTGTTTAGTTGGAGATAAGAGGCAAAATGAAAACTAACCGTTACGGATTATGGTTCACTGATTGTTTCCATTTAAAAATCCCCTTTTAAGTCTCTGCTTTATTGCATTTATGATGGCTGTTAATCAAACTCCTGGTTTTAATTTTGATTGGAAAATTATCTATGGTCAGATGGGTTTCATTGCTAATAGAGAACAGGCTGAACAGACAGAGAGGAACGTACCTCATCAGAGAGAGTTCAACTTTTATAATTTATCATAGTGGTTTACATATTTCTGCCACTTTATCAAAAAATGACCAAATGAAAAGGATTAGATTTAAAAGTAAAAACATCACAGTGAATCTTTTTTTCTGAATGTGGAATGAGGGTTTGGCATTAAAACTGAACTAAGTTGAGAACATGCCATCTTCTTCATTGTTTTTTTTTTTTAATTTCTCTTTTAAATCGCCTTGAAACTTTTATAACAGTAAGGACAAAAATGTAAATGAACATCGAAATAACTCTTTTAGCAGTTTTGTTCTATATGCAGCCTGCTGGGAGCATGGGATAATTTTCCAGGGGCATAATAGTAACTCTGCACCCATTCAGGCTCTGATCCTCGTGGGTGAAAGTTGAGTGTCCTTACTTCCCCCTGATGAGCCTCCAGATTCATGATAATGGCTCGACCCCCTTGAGATTCAAAGAACAATGGCCCAGTGCTGTGAAGCCGAAAACTTGTTCCTCCCAAATATTAACACTGTATTTAGTCAGAGCAGAACCAACTCCATTCTTCATTCAGCCAATTTAGAGATTTCATATTTTTCTTGAAGATTTAAACTATAACTATATTTTTGCAACACAAAAATAGCAACATACATGTTTTTGTGTAAAAGACTGCACACAAGTCAAATAAATTACAGTTTCTGTTTATGTGCATTTACATTTTGAGTTGTTGAAATATTTCTCTGTGGTTCTAAATCATCCAAAAGGATTCATCTAATTTACTGATTGGAACTCATTCGAAAATAAACATCCAGCTCAAGGTGAAACCACATCTGGGTCAAACAACAGCATGTTATAAAAAATACAATGCGATTTGGAATCATGGAAATGTGTTTTTCATACACATACTGTATCTTTTATTTATTTATTTTTTACCAGTAATCCCACCATGTCAAAAGCTGATTATAGTGACTGTTAAAAAAAAAACATGTAACTGTAACATTATCTCTGTAAAGCTGTTTTTGATCCTACATGTGGATTATCTATCATAACGACTG